AACTATTGATAGGAAATTAAACACTTACTTTTTTTTTTTCATTTAGTGATATACCGTATGTTTTCATTTAAGGGGTCCCGACCCTCTGCTATAAATTTCACCTTAGAAAGTATAGAAAATTTTAAATTTGTAATATTGATTTTCATACACGACAATAACATTAGAGCCACATGGAAAATTGTTTGAAAAATGAATCGCCGCTAATTTTTTCAGAAATGATTTTTATGTGCAGATCATGAAATGAAGAAATTGAACACAGAGAATAGAAAGAGTAACGATTTATTACCACAACATTAAATATAATATATCAGGTGCATATAAAAATAATACTTACTATTATTCCTATTTAAATCATGTTAGAAAACATCATGGAGCGATGTTTCCTAAGTCAGAAAATCACAATATTGTAAGTGGTTGTAAGAAAAAATATATTTGTGATGAGGAGTTATCTTTCTTCTAAATATTTCTTCATGTAAAAAAAAGTCATTCTAATTAAAATACTGTATTAAGTACTTAAAATATTAAACCATTTTTAAAATGGTACTTTAAAAGGTACAACTTATTCAATTTATAAGGCATTTGATGTTGGATTTAAATGTTTTATTGTTAAATATAATTAAAACAATTACAAAGAAATTTCCAAAAGAAATAGAAAGCAATGTTTCCATCATGTCTTCGGTCTCATCAAATTGACTACTCAGAGGTCTCAGGAAACTGATTAAGAAAACTGTGAGTAGTATTACTATTTAGTACTTTGAAAGTTATTTGTCTTATCAGTGGGTCGTTATCCCTTCAACAATTATGAAGGCTTCTTAGTAACCGTGCAATAAAACTGTTGAAATTTTAATTTAGTATATTATTACTATATGACACCCCCCTTTCCAAAATAAATAATTGAATAAATGTTGAATCAACTGTTTTTCAACATATAATCAACGTTGATTATCAATATTGATTCAATGTTAAGACTTCAACGTTGATACAAATTTTCAAAATCTAACATAAAATCTATGTTGAATCAACATAGAAAAACAACGTTGATTCAAAGTTTATTCAATGTTGTGTGCCTGCTGGGTTAATTCATTATTAATCAATTATGCCCAGCTGATTATTATCGATAGTTAATTCTATTTTTTCCGATTTCCCATCACTAGAACTCGAATCAGACTCCGAATTATATAAACCACATTCTTATTATTATTCTACTTTTATATAGCACTTATCTAATTAATATGTAATTACCCTAAAGCGTTTTACATGTAAAAACAAGTACAATATAAAACAAAGAAGAAATGGTACAATCATATGGCATGAAAATAACACCTTCATATTAATTTTTTTTAATAAAAAATACACATAAAACATTAATGAACTATACATGTAGATATATATCTTTTTATTCTACTGTTATCTTTTTTTTAGCATTTTACACACACTACTCAGCTTTATTTTAGCCAATTGTCAGGAACCTGTGTAGGTGATATTCCTCATCTCCGCAATTGATACAAAATCACGAATTATGTAGGAGTTTCCTTTCTGCAAACTTCTATAAACACTTTGTACTGCTTTGTTCTGCTACTTTTACTAACAATAAGAGTTATCCTTTATTAACATGTTCTGATGACAGGTGAAACTATTATATAAATATTGCATGTAGTTGAGTGTAACATTGAAAATTTTCACCCCAAGAAAACCATTGTCAACCGAGGCGCAGCCGAGGTTGACAATGGTTTTCGAGGGGTGAAAATTTTCAATGTCACACTCAACTACATGCAATATTTATTATATTATACTGAATGTTTTATACAAATACATATTACAGTGAACCGTGCGCGCAGAAATTCCGCGCAGTCGCTATTTTTTGTAATACCACCCGTCGTCAAGCAATGTTGACTGTTGCTACGCAGGAGGGCGTGGCTTCATTATTCAGCGGGTACTAGTGTTTCTTATCAAATGTTTCTCGACGAATCAGATTCAAGTAATTTACATGAAAGTATAATATATGCAAATGTTGTCCCTATAGACGACTTTTACATTTACAAAAGTTATTCCCCTTTGTGGGCTCTATCCGGGGTCAACCGGCGTAAGGCACTGTTTTCCCTCTATAACCTTACCAACTTTATAGGTCAGGTATCTTAATAATAAAATCTGTATGAATATGTTCATAATTTACATGTTACCCAATACTCTGGCAATACAGGTACAGATCGAAATTGTCCAATAACGTTTGAAGATTAAAAAGGTTAACAGGTAAACATGTAACTTTTAATACAGTGGGAAAATGAGCGCTACGCCGACAACGGGAGATAACTCTTAGGAAAGTGAAATTCGTCTATTTATAGTATATAATGTCAAACTATTATTTACGTTTCCTTCTACTAAATAAATTTTAAAAAAGGATAATCTATTCAATCTTCTGTAACACTAGTGAAATTGAGCAGTGTCTAAATGGACTTGTTCTTCTCCGTGTGACTTTTCTCCGAGAGACTTCAACTGCGCAGTATGATCGCTGTGCCTAAACGCTGCTGCATAAAAACAAATTAATGCTGCAAGAACAAATATACGCAAGGTTGTAATTATACAGATAAATCCTTTACTCTTCAAACCTTACAGAATGAAACCAACAATCAGCAATGAATAATATTTTCGTTTTTTCAGATCCATGTTAACTTCTAAACCGTCCACATCAAAAATGGCTGAGCCTCGTGTTTGATTCATATATTTGGTACACCGCGCCCGATCGAAAAAAAAAAAATAAACAGGTTTAGCTACTCTGTTGAAATTATTTCGTACGACCACGAACTAGGCAAAATTGAATGCTCACTACATAAGTCTGCTTGCATATTAATGTAACTAATCACAGCTCTGTTGCTTATGGGAACTGGAGAAGAACATATTTAAAGGTTTTCTGATGTATTCCTATGTAAAACTTTACTAACCCATTATGGCCCCACCCTTGCCCCAAGGATCATGATTTGAACAATCTTGAATCTACACTACCTGAGGATGCTTCCAAATAACTATGACCAATAATTGCTTCGCTGTTATAGAGAAGACGATTTTTAAAGATTTCTCCTACGTATTTCTATGTTAAAATTTGTTCCCCCATTGTGGCCCCACTCTACCCCTGGGGGTCATAATTTGAACAAACCTGAATCTACACCACCTGAGGATACTTCACTATGAATTTCATCTTTCCTGGCCAAGTGGTTCTTTAGAAGAAGATTTTTAAAAGAAGCCATTACTTTTTCACTTTTCCTAATTATCTCCCCTTGAAAGAGGGAATGGTCCTTCATTTGAACAAACCTGAATCCCCTTCACCTAAGGATACTTTATGGCAAGTTTGGTTGAAATTGGCCCAGTGGTTCTTGAAAAGAAGATGAGAATGTGAAAAGTTTACAATGACTACAACAACAACGACGACAGACAACGGACAAATTTTGATCAGAAAAGCTCACTCGAGCCTTCGGCTCAGGTGAGCTACAAACATAAAGCAAATTTTTATTATCTAAGATATCATAGACAGAAGCAAGAAACAAGAGGCCCATGGGCCTTACAGGTCACCTGAGTATCACACAACTTTTGAACAATTGAATTTGGTTAATGTTTTAAACCAGATGCCATTAAAATCAAAATTTTGAAAGAGGCACCATTGCTCATTATAACTGTACACTTACACACTTGCATGCTTACTTTGATTAATACCCAGAGGTAAAGCACAGAAACAAAGAAAAAATGCATTTCCACTATATATTTAGTAGTGCCCCATCCCATAGTAACCCTTTCCCTTGGGACACACATTTAACAATTTTGGAAAAGATACCCTTGATCATCTTACATCTTTGATTCATACCAAGAAGCAGATTTCAAAGTATTAATTCAATTTCAGAAAATAATCATTAGAGCCCCCCAAGGGTACCCCAGACCCAGGGACCATGAAATTCACAATTTGGGAAGAAGCACCCTTCCTCATTATAACTATATGTTTAGTTCACTGGCTTCATACCAAGGAGAAGAGAAGATTTTCAAAGAATTACTGCATTTTCACTATATAATCAATAAAGCCCCACCCTAGCACCAGAACCCCTAACCCAGGGGCCATGAATTTCACTTTTTTGATAGAAGCAACAGAGTATAAGATTTTCAAAGAATTAATGCATTTTCACGATATAATCATTTGACCCTAAACACCAGAACCTCTAACCCAGGGGCCTCGAAATTCACAATTTTGGAAGAAGCACTCTTGCTTATCAAAAATTTGTACACATTTCATTGACTTAATACCAAGGAACAAAGGAGGAGATTTTCAAAGAATTAATGCATTTTCACTTTTAATAAATAGAGCCCCGCCCTAACACCAGTACCCCTGACCCAGCCCAGGGGACACAAAATTCACAATTTTAGAAGAGGCACCCTATTCATCTTAACTATGTACCTTGTTCATCGCCTTAATACACAAGAATGGCAGAGAAGATTTAAAGAAATAATGCATTTTTCACTGTATATTCAACAAAGACCCCCCCCCCCCCCCCAAAGCACCAGAACCCCTGACCCAGAGGCCGTGAATTTAACAATTTTGGTAAAGGAATCAATGCTTATTACAATCATGTCAACAGATTAACTGCTTCATGTCAAGGAGTAAAGTAGAAAATATTTCAAGATTGCATTAATTTTGGTGGTTTTGGCCCCACCCCTCAGGACCAAGGGGGCAGGGGCCATGAATTTTACAATTTTTGTTCCCCTTCACCCATAGATCCTATATGCAATAATTAGTTTAAATTGGTTCAGTGGTTTCAGAGAGGAAGCTGAACATGTTACATGTAAAAAGTTAACGGCAGACGATGCACAACGACAGACAAAAACAGATAGCGAAAGTCCCCTGAGTAACTCAGGTGACCTAAAAATGAATTTGTGAACTTATGCAACTTAAGTACAGTTTTCATCACACTAAAATTAATGGAAAAATTTTACAATAATCTCAGTTTTTACACAACACCTACCTGTGCAAGTGAGATTACCAAAACCCCACTGTCTGTTTTCCTGACATCTGACAGTGTAGTCTCCATCTACTGATTTTCCACTGAGGGTTGAACCATTCTGACAGCTAAAGTTAAATGAACTGCCAAAAAGTGAATCAGAGTAGCTGTACACATCAGCACCTGGAACTTGCTCAGGTGTCCCACAATCAATCACTGAAAAGAATTGATAAATCAGGAAATTCACTCTTTTTTTTACACGTGCAAGTTTACCTTGTACCATTGGAGTATAAGAAATGAAACAGAAACTAAATTTAAGAATTCTGACTTTAAGTGACCAGCTGCAGTACAATTTTTCAAAATTTATCTTGCATATTCCAATGTGAAAGTCTGTCCCACCTACTGTTTGACCTAACCCTAGACTTTGGGGGCTGCAACTCAAACAAACCTGAATTCTTTTTTTATAACACAAAGTTGTCTTAAAATTAATATTGCAACTAAAGGCTTTGAATTCTTTGCAAAGAAAAAATAAACTTGTATATTGTTGATTCCTATTAATTCTAAATTTCAAACTTAACTTGTATTGTGATGATATATTTGTCCCCCGCTTTCGCAAAAGCAAGGGGACATTAAATCTAATTCGTCTGTCCGTTAGTCTGTCAGTCTGTACGTCACAAAAACTTTCATCTTGCCCATAACTTTTGATTTAGTGGAGCTTTACTTTCATATTTCACATCTGTATTTCTTGTGACAAGACCTTTCTTTGGGTACCACCAAACTTGACCTTTTGACCTTGACCTTGGAGTTTGACCCACTTTTACACAAAAATTCCTAACTTTTACTTTGGCCCTAACTTTTGAATGGTAGGTACTAAGACTTTCATATTTCACATATGTATTTTTTGTGGCAAGACCTTTCAATGGATACCAACAACCTTGACCTTTTGACCTTGACATTTACGTACTTATGTAAAAACTTTTACCTTGACCATAACTTTTGAACAGTAAGGGCTAAGGCTTTCGTACTTCACATATGTAATCCTTGTGAGAAGACCTTCCATTGGATACCATGGAATTTTACCCTTTGACCTTGACCTAGGAGTTTTAACTACTTTTTAAAAACTTTAACCTTGTTCACAACTTTTAAATGGTAGATACTAGGACTTTCATATTTCACATGTGTATTCTTTGTGGCAAGACCTTTCATTGGATACCAACAACTTTGACCTTTTGACCTTGACCTTGGAGATTTACGTACTTATGAAAAAACTTTAACCTTGACCATAACTCTTGAACGGTGAGGGCTAGGGCCTTCGTACTTCACATATGTAATCCTCGTGAGAAGACCTTTTATTGAATACCAAAGACTTTTACCCTTTGACCTTGACCTTGGAGTTTTAACTACTTTTTAAAAACTTTAATCTTGGTCACAATTTTTGAACGGTAGATACTAGGACTTTCATATTTCACATATGTATTTTTTGTGACAAAACCTTTCATTGGATACCAACAACTTTGACCTTGGAGATTTACGTACCTATGAAAGAACTTTAACCTTGGTCATAACTTTTGAACAGTAAGGGCTAGGGCTTTCATACTTCACATATGTAATCCTTGTGAGACCTTTTATTGGATATCAACAACTTTGACCCTTTGATCTTGACCTTGGAGTTCACCTCCTTTTAAAAAACTTTAACTTTGGCCATAACTTTTTAACGGTTAGGATTAGGGTTTTCATCCTTCACATATGTATTACTTGTGACAAGACCTTTGTTAAGAAACCAACAATTCAGATCCTTTCACATTGGAGTTTGACCTACCTTTCAAAAATTTATCCTCGACTATAACTTTTGAACAGGTGGTACTAGAGATTTTGTATTTCACAATCATATTTCTTGTGAGAAAAACCCTACTTTGGGTGCTAATATATTTAATTTGCATTAAAAAATTGTAATCATCGTTATGTTGCCATTCGGTGTTTCACAAACACATCTTGTTCCTTATATTGAGAAGAGATAGGGCTTTCATATATGACATGTCCATTACCTGTGAAAAGATAATTCCGAGCATGCTATGATTTCTTACCCCTTGACCTTCACATTGACCTTATTTTAAAAAAAACACAACTTCAATGAAATTTTCTAAATAAATGACATATGATAGGGTGTTCATATTAGACATATGTCATAAAAAATAACATCTCACCCACAAAGACACTGAAAGCGGGGGACCACAATTCTTTAAATTTGCTTGTTTTTAAATGAATGTACTTCTCCCAGTATAAAATTAAACCCTCTTTTCTAGTCATATCATGCTTTTCGAGGCATAAATTACTTTAATTATAACCTTCATTATTCAAATCAAGTGAATTACTGGTTTCATACAAACTAGAAAACTGACCAGTCAGCAAGGGCCCCGCTGAGGGGTAGAAATATAAGGGTGCAGCTCACTGAACGAGAGTTTTACTTGATTTCACTTTTAAAAAAATATATATACTAGTATGAAGATTATAAGTAACAACTGTATTTTTAAAATTTCAAGATATAATTCCTGAATGTCCAAAAACCTGTAAATAGTAACCAGGTATTTGCATAAAACAGGGAAAACCTCATGTCTTATCAAAAAAACTAAATTAAATGTGTATTTAAAAAGGATTTAAGCAGGTGTTTTATAAAATTCAAGCCTTCAGTGAATGCAAATATCACCCAGGGTTGACCTCAACTTCAAAACAAACATCAGTTGCAGACAAAGGTGTTCATTAATCTTCATATGACAGATAGATATAAGCCTCTAAATTTTCTGCAGCAAGCAAGATAATTAATCCCAGGGGATTAATTGTTCTGCTCTCTCATCCTTTTCTTCTAACTTTACAATAAGAACTTTTTTCAGCACTGACAGAATAGGGTTATTATCTGATTACCTCTTAAAATTAACAGCATTAAGGCAGAAAAAATAAAATATATAATTAAAAAAATAAAATATTAATAATAAAAAAGGATATTTAATATATATCTTAATTTTAGAATTCAACAATATCATAAATCATTGTGTACAGTATTTTAACCAGAATAAAGTATGAACATTATTTTCAATCCATATTTCAGAGAATGTACACAATACTACACATCATTCAAAATTGACCTTAACTTCAAAACAAAGTTCATCTGCAGACAGAGGCGGTACAGTAATTAATCTCAATGTGACAGATATAGATAATGCTTAGGATTTTCTTCATGTGGAAGGTTAATTAATCCCAAAGGACGAATATTGCACAGCCTTCCAAGTATACAATGGTAACATTCTCAGCTGTGAAAAAAAGTGAGTTATCTTTCTTTGCCCATTCATTCTTATGCATATTTAAGGAATCTACCCCACCACCCCAGCTACAAACCAGAAGACACAGAGAACCAAACTTAGCATCAAAATATGTATATCTGCCTACTGAACTACCATACCAAATTTAAACTTGATTGGGCAATCATAAAAAAGTTATTAGAAAAAAAAAAACAGAAAATTTGTGGACGGAAGAATGGCAGACGGACAAACAGACAGACAGACAGACAAACGGACAGACAGAGTGATTACTATAGGGCATCCGCATATCCTTGCGGGGCCCTAATAAAAGCATCTCAAAAATGTTTCAACAATAACTTCTGGTATACATAAGAAGAGGACCATGGGCCAAGATGCTTGCCTGAGTAACTATGGCTCTTCTGTTCTTTATCAACAGTTTGGTGTTTTCACCCTTATCATATCATATGTCATATGTTAAATTAAGAAATTTTTTTTAGTACCACCCTTCACCAGCTCCAATCTACCCCAGGTGTCAGGAGTTGAAAAAGCCCAGGAGCCACATATCTCACTTGAGCACATTGGCTAGGAAAAAGCAGAAAGCAGATCAATATTAAAGTGGTTCCAGGGTGGAGGGGGGATGCACAAACTAGAATCTTCATTTCCTAAGGATGCTTTTGAAACGAGAGATGTTTGTAAAACACTTATGCACCCCTCCCCAAATAAATGGAATTTTTCTAAGTCCTAGGGGAGTAACTACCTCCGAAATGGTCCAATTGTACCCTAAACAGAACTATCTAGATCTAGATATTCTTCTGATAAATCTGAATCTCAAATTTCATTTCAATACATGCAACCTCTGTGAAAAAAATGAACGGAAATGCAAATTATTGGAATTTTTCTAAGTCCAAGGGGCATAACTTTGTCTGAAATGGTCCAATCATACCCAAAACAGAACTTGACTCAGCTATTCTTATGATAAATCTCTATGCCAAATTTCAATTTAATATGTGCAATCTTATGATAAATCGGTATAGCAAATTTCATTTCAATCTGTGCAACCTCTGTGAAGAAATGAATAGAAACTGCGAAGAAAGTGGGTGCTTCGGCAGGAATAGTGGCTTATAAAAAGAATTTAAAAAATACCATTGATTTATACATTTTTTTTCAAAACCTAGGCATTGACTATGATGAGGATGACTATAAAATGGGCAAATATTCGGTTGAATATGTTTGATTTTAATTGAATATGGACCTGAATATAGTCGTAAGAATTAAATGATGCAAAATTGACTCTTTTATAGCCATTTTTCATTAATTTTGTTTCTGGGTCTTCTCTCCATGAATTTAAAATGCGTTATCAGTGTATTTTTAACCGTAAGATTTATTCCAGTTCTTTAAAAAATAGAGAGACGACCCAGAAATACCAAAATCGAAACTTTTCCAATTTATTTTCTGGCAGAAAATTGACAAAGTCAAATTGTATAGGGCTTTGTCTTTAAAAAATGATTTAAATACCTACTACGTATAGTGTCCTGTTAGGTACATTGGTTTGTCGCTGGATTTGAAACACATCGTAGCAGAATTTTTAGGATCGAATACCGTGATTTTTTTATTCTTTTTTTTTTCTTTTTGCTTGAAAATTATGATATGGTAGTAAAAAATTACTCCTTGAATAAATTTGCAAGGTATGTTTTATTAATTTACATTGTTTTATTTTTCAAAGCGTTCAAATTTTGTCATTTTTAGTGCTAACGTTCCCAAATAGAAATAAACGTACATGAAATTGTAATTACAAACTTACACGTGATGAAAAAAAATTGAATATATTTAAAAGAAAATCAAGAAACTAGCAACTTAGATCGTTCTGTTATATTCGAATTCAATATTTTTTAGTGCATTTGAAAACTGCAGCACAAAAATTATTTAGTGTTAGACTTCTATTATATTTTGTTAAATGTATCCAGCATAGATAATTTATCTTTCATGACACTTTTTGATTGAAAAAAAATTATTCACATTTAGACAAACATAAGACCATGAAGTATCTAGGTTCATTGTAAAAGACATGTAAACAACATGGTACTTGGACATTTAAACAGAGTTCTTGAAACCTTTCGGTCCTGTCGGCAAAACCGATAAAAACAACCAAGGACCGATTACTTTGCGTTCATTGTCAGTCCAAATGACTGATAAGTGTTAAAAGAGGAACTTCGACAATCCGACCTAATTTCGTACGAATTCCCTGTAACTGACCGATCGTAATCTTTCAAACGCTTTTCTGTATCTTGTAATGGCTTCTTCGATGAATGCAAGTACCAAACTATGATTGGTAAACTAGTTTGTTGACGGTGCTAAGGCGAGCCAGGCGAGAAAATCGAACAAGATTTTTAAAAAAAACTTGTGAAGAAAATGGACCCCCACGAGAATTCAAAGAAAGTTGTTATGTGACGATCAGATCAGCATGAAGTGTGCAGTGTTTATTGACGCTAGGTGCACAATGTATTTATATTGAAATTCAAATACATCATTATATTGATCTTTTTTGGATTGATAGAAATCTCTCTGGACTGACAAACTTCACATGGCATTTTCCTTCCCAAAACGGAGTGTTGTAAAAAATCTTCCTTGACCTGATATAAGATAGACAGAAGTAAATAAACCATTCATGAAGAGAATGAATCTACCAAAATTACCACAAATATATTGCTAAAATCCATGTTTACAATGTTTTCACTTCACTTAGCTATCACGTCTCACCCGTTCAACTATGACATCATGTAGCCTATGACTGTATTACAAAAAGACAGAGGCAAAGGAAAAAGTCATGTAGCCTATGACTGTATTACAAAAAGACAGAGGTAAAGGAAAAATCAAAGAAAATGTAATAAACAGAAAATTCAATGTTTTGTAGTTGAATATGGAATTTATTTCACTTGTGAGACAGAATTTTTTTTATATTTTCCCTCATGCTTCGCACTCGTAAAAATATATAAAAAAAATCCTGTCCAATTCATGAAAGAAATTCCATATTCAATTACAAAACATTAAATATCGGCCTCTATATACTCCTATGTAAAACTTTGATCGTCCATTGTGGCCCAATCCACCTCTGGGGGTCATGATTTGAATAAATTTGAATCAACACTAGCTGAGGATGAGCCCACACTTTATCTTTCCTGGTCCAGTGGTTCTTGAGAGGTAAAAGGTTTTTCAAAGATGCCAATAATTTTTCACTAACAGTATACCAATTATCTCTCCTTCCAAAAAGGTGTGGCCCTCCATTTGAACTAGGGCTGTCACTGTTCCATAATCTAGCTTTCAGGTTGGTTCTAAATTTTTTAGGTTTGATTTTGGGTTTTTCCGTTCGGGTATACAATAGAAAAAAAACTCATGAATTTGAATTACTAGTATATTCAACATAAAATTCATTTTTTTTTAATCTAACAAACAGCAACATAATGACTGGTTTAAAGTAGTTTCCTAACTAGAATTAATTGAACCAAATGATTCAGATCACACAACAATGGTAATATAACTAATATTTACAAGGAACCTTTCATTTTAGATGCCATTTTATGGTAAAATCTACTCTATTATACGAATTGGAACCAAACTGAATTTCAGAAAACCTGCCAAATTAATTGTTCTGCGGTTCTTGGTCATTTCAGTTACCCATGATAGCCCTCATTTGAACAAACTTGAATCCTCTTTATCCCAAAAAAAAATTTGTCCTTAGTCTGGTTGAAATTGGCCCAGTAGTTCTGGAGAAAAAGTTCAGACTGTGAAAAGTCAATGACAACGATTTAAGGTAGGACACAATAGATAGGCCAATTTTTTTTTCAAATTCATTTTCTCTGAAACTTAGATCTTTTGTTCTAGGATACAAAATTTCTCTTTATATAATATGAAAGAAATTCAAACACAAATTTTTTGCCCCACTTATTTTGAAATATTGCCTATCAGACCCCCGTAAGAAGATTGTGAAATCAGACAATCGACTTGAGAATGCACCTTATTTCAACATTATTAATTGATCTATTGCAAACTTGTTTAATAATGTTTATAAAGACAACCTTTTTTGTTATTTAAACTCAGTAAGTTATATTGATACTGGAAAATTTGAGTACCGTAAAATATTATGTAAAAATAGAACATACACAGCTTCAGAATTGAAAATTAACATGCAAATATCCTACACTTTAAGTTTGCTTAAGAGAAAACATATAATTCAATTTTTACAAAAAATCAACAGAATGATTCGAATCGGTCCTAGAATGAAATATGCAAAAATGAAAAAAATTGAACCAGTGGTTTCAGATATCTGGCGACTAAAAAAAATTTAATGACAAAAAATTTAAAAGATTCAGTAAATGACATCACAATATATGACCTTTGCCCTCTTAATATGACCTTGACCTTTATAGTACTTAAAGAATGGAGACCCCTTATATATGTGTCCAAATATCAGTCCTCTACTATTTATTGAACAAAAATTACAATGCATTTAATAAGAGCCTGTTACAGGTTTATTGCACTAAGATGGCGCAATTACTTTCTCCCAAGTGACCAATACATAGGATTCTTTGATTTTTTCCACAAAATATGATGAAAACATGCCACAACTTATTATTTTTCTTGCAAGGATCATTCATTATTGCCAATATAGTAATATTAATCTTTTTTCTCCTGTATTTTTCAAGAAACGAGTTAAAAAATAGAATTCATGGGTGTTTTGTACTACTTTAAAATGCCAACAATGACAATGACAGACAACAGACAAATCAGTCAGAAAAGCTCTTTTGAGTCTTCAGCTCAGGTGAGCTCATAAATCTAATCAAGGCTTTTGTTTTTGAGAAAGACTTTCCAATATACCGGTATTGTGTAAAACTTGATTGCCCATGGTGGCCACACCCCATCCTGGCCCAGGAAGTAATGACTTCAACAAACTAGAATCTACCTACCTGAAGATGATTCAATATAACTATTCATGAACTTGTTGTGCCAATTTAGGTTGCAAAAGAGTTTTTAAAAAATTAGAAGTTAGATAACTAGACAAACCATGGAAAAATATGACAGAAACAAACTAAATACTAACCTGTAACTTTTTAACTCAAAGTTTATTCTATCAAGCTCTCCAGCATACATTTTTTTATCAAGCTCTTCAGCACACATTTTACAAGTGCCCCTACCTGGACATGTCAAATTATCCCCAAGAAGACGGTATGTTGAGGTCCCACTTTCTCCACAATACAAGGACAAGTTCCTAAATTTTGTCCCATATTTGCACTCAATAATAACATGGGTTCCAAATTCCACACTTGCATTTTCATTTGGAAAGATTTTGTTGTAATTTGGATCTGTATTAAAATCAGGTGTCATACAGGTTCCCTCTGTAAAAAAGAATTCATAAAGAAATTCATATAACCTTGGTCTGTTCACAAATATTTCCAGCACATACTACCTATCACTGAGTACTTATCTAGAATATTTCTTCAGCCAAGAAATTTAGTTGTCACAAATGATTTCAAACAGATGGATCATAGATAAACAAGAGGCCCACGGGCCTTATAGGTCACCTGAGTATCATGTAACAACTTTCCAGCAATTGAATTTGGTTCGTGTTTTAATCCCAAAGCCGTGAAATTCACACTTTTGAAAGAGCCATCATTGCTTATCAAAGAGCAGATTTCAAAGCATTAATTTATTTTTAGACAAAGTACCCCCCCCCTTCCGATACCCCTTACCCAGGGGCCCTGAAATTATCCATTTTGAAAGAGGCACCTTTCTTCATCATAAGGCCAGCATTTTTTTTATTTTTAGGTTTAGTTTCATCAGAATGAAAAAGTCCCATAGGAGGACGAAATAAAAAAAAAATAAAATTTTTTATTTGGATAAATTAATTATCAACATTTGTACATTCATTTTTGCTTTTTTTTTTTTTTGCTATCCTAACAGGCTCCTTGCCACTGGACACATAATGGTTACAAATAGGAAAGTAGAACATTTCATTGTTTATTTTATCATCTGCCAGTTTGGGCCAGTGATATAAATTTTGTGATGTTGATCAAAATATATTTTTAACCAGAACTCTCTGTGGAGACTGAAGCTCTACTGGTTTTTACTTCAGGAAAGGAAGAGAAAAGTTGGGAACTGAAACTTTACCACAGCAATAAAAAGAATAATGATCCTTGATTAAGTCTCTTTATGTTCTTAGTGTAGTCTACTTGCATGCCACATTATATTATAATCAGACTTAAACTGTATTTGGAGTAGAATTTTGAGAGTTTTTAACAGAAATTTCTATTTTTAGTAACAACGACAACACCGTTCATCGAAATCAAAAACCGATACACAGAATTATGAATTTTAGTGTAGTCTACTTGTGCGCCAATTTATATTGAAATCAGACCAAAACTGTAGGAGGAGTAGCATTTTGAAAGAATTTCACAGAAATTTCTATTTTTAGCAACAACGGCAACACCGTTCATTGAAATCAAAAACCGATATACAGAATTATGTATCTTAGTGTAGTGTACTTGTGTGCCAAGTTATATAGAAATCAGACCAAAACTGTAGGAGGAGTAGCATTTTGAAAGAATTTCACAGAAATTTCTATTTTTAGTAACAACGGCAACACCGTTCATCGAAATCCAAAAACCGATGCACATAATTATGTATCTTAGTGTAGTGTACTTGTGTGCCAAGTTATACTGAAATCCGACCAAAGCTGTAGGAGGAGTAGCATTTTGAAAGAATTTCACAGAAATTTCTATTTTTAGTAACAACGGCAACACCGTTCATTGAAATCAAAAACCGATATTAAGAATTATGTATCTTAGTGTAGTGTACTTGTGTGCCAAGTTATATTGAAATCAGACCAAAACTGTAGGAGGAGTAGCATTTTGAAAGAATTTCACAGAAATTTCTATTTTTAGTAACAACGGCAACACCGTTCATCGAAATCAAAATTTCGATATATAAAATTATGTATCTTAGTGTAGTCTACTTGTGTGCCAAATTATATTGAAATCAGACTAAAACTAAAGGAGGAGTAGCATTTTGAAAGAATTTCACAGAAATTTCTATTTTTAGTAACAACGGCAACACCGTTCATTGAAATCAAAAACCGATACACAGAATTATGTATCTTAGTGTAGTGTACTTGTGTGCCAAGTTATATTGAAATCAGACCAAAACTATAGGAGGAGTAGCATTTTGAAAGAATTTCACAGAAATTTCTATTTTTAGTAACAACGGCAACATCGTTCATGGAAATCAAAAACCGATAAACAAAATTATGTATCTTAGTGTAGTGTACTTGTGTGCCAAGTTATATTGAAATCAGACCAAAACTGTAGGAGGAGTAGCATTTTGAAAGAATTTCACAGAAATTTCTATTTTTAGTAACAACGGCAACACCGTTCATCGAAATCAAAAACCGATACACAGAATTATGTATCTTAGTGTATCTACTTGTGTGCCAAGTTATATTGAAATCAGACCAAAACTGTAGGAGGAGTAGCATTTTGAAAAATTGTTTACAGACAGACAGGCAGACGGACGGACAGACGGACGGACGACGGACGCATTACTGTCGCATAAGCTCTTCTGGTCTCTGACCAGTAGAGCTAAAAATGAATTCTTTAAAAAAATATATCTTCATTTCTTTTAATATGTGTTAGGTGAATGTGTAGACATTGTTCTAAAATGTACTTAATACCTAAAATTATAATTCCGATAAACAGATGGGAAGTATTGTGAACATTTTTTCAATTAAGTGTAAAAAAAAATTTTCTTGCTGCCACAAACAATACTATATGCCTGTATATATTTGTATATACTTGCTTTTTAATACTTGAATTTTTTTTTATTTCTTCAGGCTTTTGTTTATTTCTTCCTCGGATGGACTTAACTTATCCCATAATTTTATTCATTACAACTGATGCATAAGCGACCCTTTTCTGAAGAATGATGCTTAGACTGTAACAACAGAGACCTAAACAATGTCGCTGGCAATAGCTACCTCGGCCAGTTTTAAACCTGTGGGAGGAAAATAATTTACACACAGATACTTTTGAATACGAATACATTATTATCTCACCAGCATGTCATTGTGCAACAAAGTCGTCAGCATTTTATTTGTCCTTTGAACGGGTGAAACTCCTAATCATATCGATAAATTTTTACACTAAACCAAGCTATGTTGCTGCTGTGAACTTGACAGATCTACCTTTAATTAAAACCCAATGTTCCATCTTAAAGTATGAGTTCGTAAAATTGAAATCTCGATCCCGACTCAAATTTGACATGGGAAGAAAAAAAAAATTTCTGAAAATTCAATCTTTGAGCGGCGGGTTTGTAAACCCGAAAATAAAAACAAGAGGCCCATGGGCCATATCGCTCACCTGAGAAGCTTTGACAATTCTGTTTTTACCAGGTTCCCCCTTGTAATACATACTGTGACCCCGCCCTACCCAACTGATCATAATTTAGACAATTTGGAATCTACACTACCCCAGGATGCTTCCACATAAGTTTCGGCTTTTCTGGCCCAGTGGGTCTTGAGAAGAAGATTTTCAAAGATTTTTTCCTATATATTTCTATGTAAAATTTTGATTCCCCATTGTGGTCCTGCCCTACACCCGGAGGGTCATGATTTGAACAATTTAGAATCTACACTACCCCAGGATGCTTACACATAAGTTCAGCTTTTCTGGCTTTTCTTGAGATTATTTTTTAATGACCCCGCCCTATTTTTGTCTTTTCTTGATTATCTCCCCTTGCGAGGGGACTTGGCCCTTCATTTTAACAATTTGAATTTTCCTTCACCCAAGGATGCTTTGTGTCAAGTTTGGTTAAAATTGGCCCAGTGGTTCTTGAGAAGTCTAAAATGTGAAAAGTTTACAGACAGACAAACGTACGAACAGACGGACGACGTAAAAAATGTGATCAGAAAAGCTCACTTGAGCGTTCGGCTCAGGTGAGCTAAAAATGCTGACTTTAAATATGTAATTGGATCATTTAGATTGCATCATTTAAAGAATTTATGCAATTTCACTATATAATCAATATAGCCCCTCCCTCACACCAGAACCCTTGACCCTGGGGGCATAAAATTCACAAATTTGGAAGATGCACTCTTGCTCATCATAACTATGTACTTAGTTAGTTTATTTAATACCCAGGATCAGAGAAGAAGATTTTCAAAGAAATAATGCATTTTCACTATATAATCTATATAGCCCCGCCCTAGCACTAGAACCCCTGACCCTGGGGCCATGATTTCCACAATTTTGGAAAAGGACTCAATGCTGATTACAATCATGCCAACAGTTTGACTGCTTGATGTTCAGGAGTAAAGAAGAAGATTTTTTAAGATTTCATTAATTTTAGTGGTTTTGGCCCTACCCCCTGGCCCTAAGGGGGTAAGGACCATGAAATTCACAATGTTTGTTTCCCTTTACCCATAGATGCTTTGTGCCAAATTTGGTTGAAATTGGTTCAGTGGTTTCAGAGAAGAAGCTGAAAATGTTCAAATGTTAACACACGATGGACGACGCACGACGCATGACCACGAGGACGGACGAAAACGGATAGCAATAGGTCATCTGAGTTCACTCAGGTGACCTAAAAGTGGTTTACAATATCACTTTCATAATTCTTTTTTTCCAGTTTGCATAAACAGTACTGTATTTTAAGAGAAAATTTGAAAATCATCTACAATTCAAATATGTTGCACAAAATGATAACAAGAGGCCCATGGGCCACATCGCTCACTTGAGCACATTGGCTAGGAAATAAAGCAGAAATCACTTCAGATTGAGTTTACATAAGGGGGTGGTGGTTCAGGAATTTTTAACTACCAGCCCTCATTTGAACCAATATATATGACTTTGTACATTGTACTACCTAAGAAAGCCTCCATATCAATATGATTAAACATGGCTTTTCTGTTCTTGGGGAAAAAATTTTCCTTGATATTTCTAGACAAAACTTTGATCCCCAATTGTGTACCACCGTACCCAACCTTACCCAACCCCTACTAACCCGTTCAAGACTTGAACAAACTTGGATCAACACTACGTGAGGATGCTTACATAAAGATGTGACCAATCATGGCTTTGTGGTTCTCAAGATTATTTTTAAAAAAATTTCCTATATATTCCTATGGAAACTTTTAATCATCCATTGTGGCCCAGCCCTACCCCTGGGGGTCATGATTTGAAAAAAAAACTACTGGTACACTACCTGAGGATGTTTTCACATAAGTTTCATCTTTACTGGCCCAGCTGAGTGGTTCTTGAGAAGATTTTCAAAGATTTTTTCTATATTTTCTAGGGATGTCAACGAATAGTCGACTATTCGACTATTTGTCGTCATTCCGCAAACCATTATAGTATCCGTCCTCCGACGAATAAGAGCTTAAACACAGTCACAGAATATAGCAAGTTTCCACACTGTACACATGGAAAGTACAGTAATTACATACCGCGGTAATTATTTCTCAATTACTGACCTTTTTTGTTTTGTAGTAAATTATGCTGCGCTTTACTGGACTTTGAAAATTATTAATTGGACTTGTACCAATTATAAATTTACTTATTACCTCTAAAAGAGTTTGAATTATGCTATAGGAACACAGCATAACGTGAAGTTTTGAAACTTCAATAACTTAAAACTTCAAAAATCTCCTCTCCTTTTCCAATTTATTTGAATAAGCTTTAAAAACACTGTGCTGACTAAGCATACTAGAACAAAAGAATATACAAACCAATTTTTGAATGTGATTTATGAAAATTCATACATTGTGGAGAATCAATTGCTGGTGTACATCTATTTCATTTCTACACATTATCCCAATTTAAGGTTCATCTGAATATCGGTGTGTAACACACATTATAGGCATTTGATGTTACTTTTTACATAAATTTACGAAAAGGGTTTTTCATTTAAAAAAACGTAATCAATAAGATTTTTTTTTTCAAATAATGCTCCGAATAGTCGACTATCGTTCGAATAATGCAATCGAATGTTCGACTATGGAAAATGAATATTTTGACATCCCTAATATTTTCCTATGTAAATCTTTAATCGTCAGTTGTGGCCCCGCCCTACCCCCGGGATCACGATTTGAAAAAACAAAATGGATCTACACTACCTGAGGATGCTTCCATATAAGTTTCATTTTTACTGGCCCAGTGGTTATGGAGAAGATTTTTTTTTAATTCCTATATATTCTTATGTAAAACTTTGATTAGCCATTGTGGCCCCGCCATTCCCCCGGGTTCATCATTTGAACAAACTTGAATCTACACTATCTGAGAATGCTTCCACATGCGTTTCATCTTCCCTGTTCCAGTGGTTCTGGAGGAGAAGATTTTTAAAGATTTTTTCCTTTATATTCCTATGTACAACTTTGATCAGCCATTGTGGTCCCGCCCTACCCCCAGGGGTCTTGATTTTAACAAAACTGAATCTACACTACCTGAGAATACTTTCACATGAGTTTCATCTTTCCTGGCCCATGGTTCTGGAGAAGAAGATTTTTAAAATATGCCATTAATTTTTCATTAATTCATTATTATCTCCCCTTGGAAGAAGGCTTGGCCCTTCATTTAAATAAATTTGAATTCCCTTCACCCAGGGATACTTTGTTGCAAGTTTGGTTGAAATTGGCCGAGTGGTTCTTGAGAAGAAGAGGAAAATGTGAAAAGTTTACGACGACGCCGACAATAACGACTACAACAACGACAGACAACGGACAAATTTTGATCAGAAAAGCTCACTTGAACCTTCAGCTCAGGTGAGCTAAAAACAGAACACTCTCCCTTTTTGCTTAATGTAGAACAGAACTTCACTTTTTTCATTTCGAAATTCATATTAAAAATCTTCAAAAAGCTATATAACTTTTAACAATTTATCCAAAACAGAACTACAGTATATATAACATACTTGTACAATTTATCATATCTTCTGACCACTTCCCAACGCCTTGTTCTACCCCACATTTTAGTGTAGTCCTCTGAGGATTTGGGTAGTAGCCATGGTTACACTCCACAGTTATTTCATCTTCATAGTAGAACAACTTCTTTTTGCTCAGAATTGTTCCGTTCATAGGAGGTGAGAGTGTTGGACACAGAGCTCCTAAAATTATAAATAGTTAATCTCTATCATTATTCCTAATACATGTATGTCTCACTTGCAGTTGAAATTGAAGAACAGAATATATTCTTGGCATTTGAACTTTTTGATCAATTAAAGACAAAAAACTATCTATTCGAAATGAATAAAAATCATTTCATTTTTTTTCTCTTCTTTTTTAAATCATACAGTTTAACATTAGTTCAAATATTACTGCATACAATTCTATTCACTCTATTTTCAAAATAGTATTTTGCCTTGAATACCAACATTTGGTATTTTCTCATAAATCAAAATGCTTTATTAATTATAGAATACTATTTCACCTTCTAAATTGATAAACCGTTCACGGTAGCTCGGTCGGTAGAGCGCTCGCTCCGTGATCGGGAGGTCGTGAGTTCGCATCTCGGCCGCGACCGACCTAGTCGTTAAAATGGGTAGCAACTGTTCCTTCGCCATGCGCTCGGCACTTTGAAGTGGAAGTTGCGGGTCCTTCGGATGAGACCTTAAAAACCGAGGCCCCGTGTCAGCGACAAGCGTTGGCACGATAAAGATCCCTCACTGCTCAATGGCCCTGAGTGCCGAGTAAAGGTCAAAATTTGAACCCCTTCACCGACATACGTTGACGTCTCCATATGAGTGTAAAATTCTCGAGAGGGACGTTACACAATATACAATCAATCAATCAATCTAAATTGATAAGAACTAGATATTATTGAGATGGTGGCCATCTCAAAGGGCCTAGCTTTCAGCAAGCAAATGAATGATTGATAGATTGTATTTAGTTTAACGTCCCTATCGAGAATTTTTCACTCATATGGAGACGCCACCGCTTGCCGGTGGAGAGCAGGGAGGGATCTTTTTCGTGCCAGCACCGACTGGGACACAGGACCTCACCAACATCGTTCTTTGAAATCAAAAACTAATGCACTCATTCACGTATCTACGTGTAGTCTACTTGTGTGCCAAGTTATACTGAAATCTGACCAAAACTGTAGGAGAAGTAGCGTTTTAAAGGAATTTCACAAAATTTTCTATTTTTTAGTAACCATGGCAACACCTTTCATCGAAATCAAATACCGATGCACTAATTTATGTATCTTAGTGTAGCATACTTGTGTGCCAGGTAATACTGAAATCAGACCAAAACTGTAGGAGAATTAGCATTTTGAAAAATTGTTTACAGACATATGCACAGACAGACACGGACGGACGACAGACACCTTACCATCGCATAAGCTCTTTTGGTCTCTGACCAGTAGAGCTAATGAAGTGTTTTACTGTTCTATATCGACTTTTTTTCACTTAACTAATAAAATAAAACAATATTAAGAAATTACAGGTTCAAAAATGTAATTACAATTTTATATTACTGATTTATAGACCGATTTTGCAACTGATAGGAAGGTTCAGGGCGTTATAGTGTGTTTTTGAATTTCTGATTAACTGAAGCTCTTAAAGAAAGGGGTAATAAAAAAGTTATTAAAGACAAGAGGCCCAAGGGCCTTCTAGGTCACCTGAGCATTATGCAACAACTTTCCAGTTATTGAATTTGATTCATGTTTTAAGCCAGATGCTATAGCATTCACAATTTTGAAAGAGGCACCATTGATCATCATAACTATACACTTAGCAGTTGCTTAGTTTGGTTACTAAATACCCATAGTCAGGGTAGGGGAACAAAAAAAAGCATTTCAACTAATCAGTAATATTCAGCAATAATTAATAGTGCCCCTACCACACATGTACCTCTGACCCTTAGGCCTAGATCCACAGATTGCACAATTTTTGAAAAGGTATCCTTACTTTTCAAAAATATTTGATTAATACCAAGGAACAGATTTCAAACCATTCATTTTCAGCACACTGTATATAAGCCCCCCCCCCCCCAACTGTATGGTACCCCTGACCCTGGGGCCTTGAAATTCACAATTCTGGAAGATTAGGGTCCTTGCTCATAACTATATAGGTAGTTCATCTGCTTAATACCCAGCAGCAGAGAAGAAGATTTTCAAAGATTTAATGTATTTTCACTATATAATCAATAGAGCCCCGACCTAACACTAGAACCCCTGACCCTTGGGCCATAAATTTCACAATTTTTGAAGAGGCACCCTTGCTCATCATAACTATGAACTTAGTTGGTTTCTTTAATACCCAGGAGCAGAGAAGAAGATTTTCAAAGAATTCATATATTTTCACTATATAATCAATAGAGCACCCTAACACCAGAACCCGTGACCCTGGGGCCTTAGAATTCACAATTTTGGAAGAGGCACTCTTGCTCATCATAACTTTGCACTTATTTAGTCTATTTAATACCCAGGAGCAGAGAAGAAGATTTTCAAAGAATTCATGTATTTTAAATATATAATCAATAGAGCCCCACCCTAACACTAGAACCCTTGACCCTGGGGCCATAAAATTCACAATTTTGGTAGAGGCACTCTTGCTCATCATAACTATGTACTTAGTTGGTTTCTTTAATACCCAGGAGCAGAGAAGAAGATTTTCAAAGAAATAATGCATTTTCACTATATACTTATTTAGCCCCGCCCTAGCACTAGAACCCCTGACCTCAGGGCCATGAATTTCACAATTTTGGTAGAGGACTCAATGCTGATTACAATCTTGGAAACAGTTTGACTGCTTTATGTCCAGGAGTAAAGAAGAAGATTTTTAAAGATTGCATTAATTTTAGTGGTTTTGGTCCCACCCCTCAGGCCCCAGGGGGGCAGGGGTCAAGAAATTCACAAATTTTGTTTCCCTTTACCCATAGATGCTTTGTACCAAATTTGGTAGAAATTGGTTCAGTGGTTGCAGAGAAGAAGCTGAAAATGTTCAAATATGAACACACGATGGACGACGGACGACGAACGACGCACGTTAACGCACAATGCACAACGCACGACGACGGACGAAAACGGATAGAATAGGTCACCTGAGTTTACTCAGGTGACCTAAAAAAAGTAATAAACATACGCTCTTGAAATCTAAAACATACAAATTTGAGAATCTCTTTATTATTTATATTATGTTTTCATTTAAATCCTTTGTGTCCATCATATTTTGTAGTACTCTATATAAACAGAAAAATTTGTTAATTTTTGGCATTTTGAGATGTCCACTCTGGTAACAAGATGTAGAATTTTGTGTTTTTTACATATAATGTACAGTATAGTATTACTCATCATATATTATAGTTTGAACAAAAAGTCTATTGTAGTATTTGTATAATTTGCTTTAAAGTGCTAAAAATTGGCACTTTCCTACAAAATCCTATAGTACATGTACATTTAGTTTGAGACGGTCCCTTAAGAATACCTGACAGTACATTTCCCCCAAACCTGGCATGTACGCTGTAGTTAATGTAAATTATATATGATACCAGAAGTCTCTGTCGAGACCATAGACCGTAGCTCTACTGGTTTATACTTATAATAAATTAAAAGAAAAGTTGCAGGTGGGACTTGAAACTTTACAACAGTATTGAATAGAATAATGATCCTTGATAAAGTCTTTTGGTGGCAATATTGCAATAAGACTACAGCTGTAGGAGCAGCTTTTGATAAAACCTTTAAAGAATTTTCAATTTTAGTTACCATGGCAACACCGTTCATCCGAAATAAATTAAAAAACAAAATAAAGGACAATAATGTATCTGAGTGTATTCTATCTGCATGACACATTATATCATAATCAAATTAAAACTATATTTGTGATAGCATTTTAAAATCATTTCAAAGAAATTCTATTTCTAGTAACCATAGCAACACTGTTCATTCAAATCAAAAACCAGTGCAAAGAATTATGTATCTTAGTATAGTCTACTTGTGTGCAAAGTTATATTGAAATCAGACCAAGACTGTAGGAGGAGTATCATTTTGCAAGCATTTCACAGAAATTTCCATTTTTAGTAACCACGGCTACGCCGTTCATCGAAATAAAAAACCAATGCAAAGAAGTATGTATCATAAAATAGTCTACTTGTGTGATAAGTTATATTGAAATTAGACGAAAACTGTAGGAGGAGTAGCATTTTGAAAGAATTTCACAGAAATTTCTATTTTAAGTAACCACGGCAACACAGTTCATTGAAATTAAAAACCGATGCACAGAATTATGTAACTTAGTGTAGTCTACTTGTGTGCCAAGTTATATTGAAATCAGACCAAACCTGTAGGAGAAGTAGCATTTTGAAAGCATTTCACAGAAATTTCTATTTTTAGTAACCACGAAAACACTGTTCATTAAAATCAAAAACCGATGCATAGAATTGTGTATCTTAGTATAGTCTACTTGTGCCCCAAGTAATTTTGAAATCAGACCAAAACTGTAGGAGGAGTAGCATTTTGAAAAATTGTTTACAGACAGACAGACAGACAGATGGACGGACAATGGACCCATTACTATTGCATAAGCTCTTCTGGTCCAGCTAATACTGTTCATCGAAATCAAATACCGATATACAGAATTATGTATCTTAGTGTAGTCTACTTGTATGCCAAGTTATATTGAAATCAGACCAAAATTGTAGGAGGAGTAGCATTTTGAAAAATTGTTTACAGACAGACAGACGGATGGACGGACAATGGACCCATTACTATTGCATAAGCTCTTCTGGTCCAGCTAACACTGTTCATTAAAATCAAATACCGATATACAGAATTATGTATCTTAGTGTAGTCTACTTGTATGCCAAGTTATATTGAAATCAGACCAAAATTGTAGGAGGAGTAGCATTTTGAAAAATTGTTTACAGACAGACAGACGGACAGCTAGACAGACAGAGGGCCGGACGCCGGACGCATTACTACCGCATAAGCTTTTCTGGTCTCTGACCAGTAGAGCTAAAAATGAAGTTCGCTATTGTTGTTTTCACACAATAAAACCCCAGTAGCAGTCTAGTCGAACCCCAGTTTACCCAAACGAGGGTTTTCCGTCCCATGATGCAATGCGCAAGAACAGTAACTCTTGCCGTATCCAATATAAACAAATTTACCTATATCATCTATCTTAGGAAAAAAAAGACCGATAATTATTACCGCACTTTCTAAAGAAAGTTCGGGTGTATTGTTGTTAATCATGTCCGTCCGTCCGTCTGTCACACTTTTCTTACCTGAACTCCTCCTACATTTCATATAGTAGCCTAATCATCTTTTGGGAGATGGTAGGTGGTGTCATGTAGATGTGCAGTAAGGTTTTGGAATTTTGATTTTGCCCCGGGGGTTCAAATGGGGGTCGAAAAATGACGTTTTTTTATGCCAAAAGCTTGTCTTTCCTGAACTCCTCCTACATTTTACATAATAGCCTAATTATATTTTGGGAGATGGTTGGTGGTGTCACGTAGATGTGCAGTAAGGTTTCGGAATTTTGATTTTGCCCCGGGGGGTCAAATGGGGGTCGAAAAATGATGTATTTTTATTCAAAAAGCCCCGACTTCCCTGAACTCCTTTTACATTTTACTCAGTAGCCTAATCATCTTTTAAGAGATGGTTGGTGGTGTCATGTAGATGTGCAGTAAGGTTTCGGAATTTTGAGTTTGCCCCGGGGGGTAAATGACGTTTTTTAAGCAAGAAGCCCCTTCTTCCCTGAACACCTCCTACATTTTACTCAGTAGCCTAATCACCTTTTAAGAGATGGTTGGTGGTGTCATGTAGATGTGCAGTAAGGTTTCGGAATTTTCATTTTGCCCCGGGGGGTCAAAAGGGGTAAAAAATGACGTTTTTATGCAAAAAGCTCCGTCTTTCCTGCACTCCTCTAACATTTTACACAGTAGCCTAATCATCTTTTAAGAAATGATAGGTGGTGTCATGTAGATGTGCAGTAAGGTTTCGGAATTTTCATTTTGGCCCAGGGGGTCAAAAGGGGTCGAAAAATGACGTTTTTTATGCAAAAAGCCCCGTCTTCCCTGAACTCCACTTACATTTTACTCAGTAGCCTAATCATCTTTTAAGGGATGGTTGGTGGTGTCATGTAGATGTGCAGTAAGGGTTCGGTATTTTCATTTTGCCTGGGGAGTCAAATGGGGGTCGAAATTTGTTTTGTTTTTTTAAATATTTGAAATGTTTAATCACCCTGCTTCCAAGAACTTCCCTCATATTTTATGCATTAGCCTTAAATCATGATCATTTGGAAAATCATTGGTTTGTTTTGTGTATATGTAAAATGGATTCAAATTTGCATTTTCATGTGGATGGCAAAAAGGGGTAGGAAAAATGGCCCCTCCCTTACCCAGGGGGTCATGATTTGTACAAATTTGAATCTACACCTCTTGAGAATGTTTCCATATTAATCATGCTCTTGTTGTTCTTGAATTTTGAAGATTTGTTTCCTTTTATTCCTATATAAAACTTTGATCCCTAATTGTGGCCTGACCCTAGCCTTTGAGGTCATGATTTGAAAAACTAGAGATATGTTTATAGGACATGAATGTCCCCCCGAATGTATATTATTAATGCTACATGAAAATTTGTATTTAATGTATACAGTTTGATGAAAATATCTTGAACAGTTTCTTTAGAATTGAAACTAAAATCTAAATGAGTTGGATATAGATAATATATTCTCACCAAATTATGTATAAGTGCATGCTAAGCATAAAAATGTCTTAAATTATTTCTTTAAAACTAAGCAAAACACAAATTAAAGAGGAGGGAGGTCAAGGTCACAGGAATATGCAAGGTGAAGTTTTTGATGCAGTTGATTATCTCTCACTAATACATATCAGCATATGAAGCTTGATAAAAATATCTTGAATGATTAAATGAAATTGAGCTTAACACTCTTTTTAAGAAAAGAGGTCAAAGGAAAGGTTGAGGTCAAAATGTTGTTGCAGTTGAAAAGCTTACATCAGTATGAATTCACTAGTAACATATCAAGCTTGATAAAAATATAATTAATAGTTTATTTATGAATGGTTTATTTAAAACTTAGATAAACACTAATTTTTAAAAAGTGAGGTCAAGGTCAAAGGAAAATTCAAGTTTAAAACAAGTTGATGCATTAATAGCTCTCAGCAGTATGTATCAGCATATGAAGTTTGATAAATATATCTTGAATTGTTTATTCAAAACTGATCTTGACATTAATTTTAGAAAAGTGAGGTCAAGTCACAGGAAAGGTTAAGGTAAAAAAAGATTGAAGCATTGTAAAGCTTACATAAGTTTTATCATCATTTGAAGTTTCATTACACAACTTGAATGGTTTCTCTTAAAATTCTTTAAAATTAACCTAACCACTAATTTAAAGAAAAGTGAAGTGAAGATCAAAGGAAAAGTCAAGGTCAAAAATTTATGCTGCAGTTAGATAGTTTACATCAGTATGCATCAACATATGAAGTTTGATTAGACTACCTTGAATAGAATTCTTAAAACTGAGCTAAACACTAGTTTAATAAAAGCGAGGTTAAGGTCAATTTTGTCAAAGGAAGGTCAAGGTCAAAAAATGTTGATGCAGTTGTAGATTTCTCCTCAATATCTATCAGCATATGAAGTTTGATAAAAATATCTAGAATAGTTTCTTTTAGCCCGATGGAAAGACAGATGGAATGGTGGAGGACGGACATGACAAAAACTATACATGTTTTCCTAATCATGGCGTGGCATAAAAAACTTGAATCTACATTATATGAGGATGTTTCCATATCAAGATTATACAAGAAAATTCAAAGAATTGCGGTCCTCTGCTTTCTGTATTTTAGTGAATGGGATGCCATAATTTATGGCAGATTGTGTGTCAAATATGCACCCCTATCATATGTCAATTTTTGAAAATTAGATCTCGGGTGAGCTAAAAAAGACAATATTCAACTTTTTCTACACTGGAAAATTAAATCTGCTTGTCATTTGGGAATTTTCATTTACATTTTGGGAAAAAAAAATTATCAATTGGGACAGGGTTCTTTTGCAGAACTTGGATGCAAGGGTTATTAAGCTCTGTATATATACTAGTGAAACAAATTTAATCTTAGCTGCATGAGTCATGTTTACCCCTTTCATGGCATATATGCATTTCTACGCACCTGACTTGAAAACCAGTATAGTGTGAACAAACATTCATAACTTCGTTAATACTGCATATATCAGAATAATGCTTGCACCATTAGAAAGAGAAAATAATAATTATTATGATGAAATAATATTCAGAAAACCTTTTTAATGGTTGTACCAGTTTTTTTTCTAGCTCCAGTTAAACTTTGCGCACTATTCGAGCGATTTTGCCATTATCGAAATTAATGTGGTGGTAACATGTAATATGTTAAAATGCTAAATTCTGGTGATTACCTCGTAAACCCACCCCATCCCCCCAAAATACTTAAAATTGGTTTTAAAAAATGTACATGCTCATAATTTTCAACACAATAATAGATTATTTTTAACAAAGCAAAAAACCAGAATGAAACTCTATCTTGAATAAATGGAAATTCCAGCATGATTATAGTGTAGTTCGTTGCCATGGCAACTGAAATAATATTTTCATTATCATTTTCAGAAACTACACAATACCTGCTTTCAGAATATATAAACATTGGTATATACAAAAATTACAAGAAACACCCGTAGAAATGCATTGAAGTCTCAATATCAATATGTTTAGAAATGCTTAAAATCTTTGCAATGGAAAGGGTTAAACAGACCTAAGAAAAACATAACCAAGAACAGATCAAGTCTGGAAGTCTGTCAAGTAGATTTTCTTTCAGTACAAATTAGTACATGTCACAAATATGCTGTTTTCAGAATGTTGTTACTTACGGACACATGTGTAGTTAATTCTAATTTTATCTCCAGCTCTTGTTCCAGTCTCTCCATCTGCCAAGCTGATATTGTTGAAATTTGGTTCCAAGTATAACTGATAGCCAGGGTTGCAAGAGCAATTGAAAGATCCAACATAATTATTACACCTCTGACTGCATCCTCCATTTTCATCATTGCACTCATTTATATCTGTATAAGAAATAGAGATACAAGAGGCCCATGGGCCACATCGCTCACATGAGTACAGTGGCTAGGAATTAGCAAAAATCAATCCAGTAGCTTAAAAATGCATCATTAGTTTATTCTAGTACCTATCCCTAAAAAAGGTGGGTATGATTTAAATTAACTTGAATCTTCACTTAGGATCCTTACATATTTCTTTGACTTACAGTGGCTTTTTCCCTATAAGTTTGAACTTTCATTTTGGTCCAAATCCCAGGGGTCATGATTTAAACAAATTTGAATCTACACTTCCTGAGGATGCTTCCGTTTAAATTTGACCAATCATGGCTTTGTTGTTCTTGAGAAAAAGATTTTTAAAGATTTTTCCACCCCGCCCCTGGGGGTCATGATTTGAACAAACTTCAATCTACACTACCAGTGGATGCTTCCATATTAGAAGAAGATTATTAAAACAACCACAAAATCTTCACTCTTCATCTCTTGATTATCTCCCCTTGAAAGAGGATGTGGCTCTTCATTTGAACAAACTTGAATCCTCTTCAACCAAGGATGCTTTGTTGCAAGTTTGGTTGAAATTGGCCCAGTGGTTCTGAAGTCAAAAATGTGAACTTTACAGGCAGACAGCTAGATGGATAGATGGACTTCAGACAAATTGGGATCCGAAAAACTCACTTGAGCTCTGTATAATATCATGACTTATTAGCTGCTATAGCATTTTACATGAAAATATAATAAACTAGATATCATTTAGATGGGGCCATCTCAAAGGGCCCCGCTTTCAGTAATGAACACAAAAATGTAAGGTAGATGAAAAGGCTTTATTTGGAAGAGGAACATTTGTGTACTATTAAGAGATGTGTTGTTTGGGTCTAAAGGCGATAAAAAGTAACTACTCTCTGAAAAAATAATAGGATAATTTTTGTAGCAAAGTATTTGTATGATGAAATGAAATATAAAAAAAAATGGCACGAAAATCATGAGTGCTCTACATCCTCAATCAAAACGGCACAAAACTCATGAATGTTGCATATCCTCTAACCTCTATCAAAATATGGAAGGAAAATCACAAATGTTCCGTATCCTGAGTTAATTGGTAAAGTTTGATGTTCACTGGTCTTGAGGGAAGGAAATTATGCACCGAACAAAGATTTTAAACAGAGAGGTTATTTTTTACCTTGACCTAGAATCTTCATTCAAGGTCACTGCTGCACATCGATTGACCAAGGGCAGAGAAAATATACTCTGGACACGGATTTTTCATATGCTTTGACTTTGACCTTAGACCTAGAAACATGGTTCAAGATCACTGCACACCCTTCACATAAAGGCACTCTCTAGGTGAAGTATGAGCCAGATTGGGAAAGGAGAGAGAAGATATGCTCCGGGCAAGAGATATCTGATGGACAGACGGACGGAACACACTGATCAATATAAGGCACCCACAGAGCAGGGCCCTAACAAGCTAATTCAGAGAATCTGCACACCGCACAAATTAGCTGTAATAATGTAGTCTTCTTCCTTTTTTTTTGGGGGGGGGGGGGGGGGGGGGGCTACAACTTCTTAGGATCTCCGTAATGGTGCAATGCGGTAGCGATTCACTCCCGCACGGATTTCGGCTCAAATTGTTAGTAAACGGCTATTTTATTAATATGACTTACCTGGACTTCTAAAATGTAGTTATCCCAGATATAAATCGATCAAAATATATACAGAACAATCCATATATCCGTATTTTTCGTGTATGTCAACATCACAACTTAAATTTATCCGCCATGTTTACCGACCTTGACAGATTTTATTTTGGGACAGCCAATGAGATTAAGGATCTATAGGGAGTGGATTTCTTTGGAATTACCTTATTTTAAGCCTAAATATCGCTGTTTACGAAAAAATAACACATGGAATGATTTTATTTATCGATGTTTAGTGTTAACTATTCATCACAATTATTTATAAACATCGATATTTGCTTTACTGAGTTATTCTAAATTTCAAGCGCAAGTCTCAGTATGTCACGCCTGAAATGTCATGGCTGCTGAGTAAAGCGAAAGGTACAACACAGATTTATTTTACATGGTTTTCGCGTTTAACGGGCTATGATGTCGACAGTGAATAAAAATTTCATCTTATTAGAAGTAAGTTGAATGTAAAAACCATTTATTCTACCTGCAGTCGCCCGTATTTAAAAAAATATTTTTGCACCATTACGGATATGCTGTGGAATTGCAGCCCTCTCCAGAAAATATCAGACTTAAAAAAAATCGGAGAGGGCTACATTATTCCAGCTACGCACAAATGGCAAAAGCATTAGTTCTGCTAAAAGCTTGCATTTTGTTTTATATTTAAACAGGTCAGGGAAATTAATTTCTGTGATTACAGATTAATAAAAACGCTAAATGAGGCACCTTTGTGACTGACAAACCATCCAATCAGCTGAATGAGTTACATTATGGCTTACTAAAATATACTACAGGTACATTTTAGGCCAGTTTTTTTAAATCAGAAAGACAAGATACATTTTTCTAGGGATGTCAAAATATTTATTTTCCTTAGTCGAAAATTCGAATGTATTATTCGAACGATAGTCGACTATTCAAAACATTTTTTTTTTTTGAGAAAAATAAATCTCATCGATAGCGTATTTATAAATCAAAAACCCTTTTCACAAGTTTGTGTAAAAAGAAACATCAAATGCCTATACAGTGTATTACACACCGATATTCAGTGAAACCTAAAGTAGGAATAATATCTTGAAATGAAACAGATTTACACTAGCAAGTCTCCAAAATGTATGAATTCTCGTAAATCACATTTCATAAATTGGGCTCATTCTAGTACCCTTAGAACATTGTTAGCACGTTGTTTTAAAGCATATTAAATGAACTGGAAAAGGGAAGGGGTAAACACACCACAAGCACTTGTTTCGGGAAAAAAATGTTAACTCATAGTATACTATGGGTTAAAATTTTATTTCCGAAACAATGCAAGTGCCTGTGAAACACACACTATCCACACGTCGAGTGATATTGTTTAATACTGCTTCAATTAATGATTAGCCCGGCTATCAAAATGTCTTCACTTTGTAAGATTGTTTTAATAATTATCGAAATTTCAAAACTACACGGCTGGTGTGTATTCCTATAGCATTTGAAGATTCTTAGAGGTAATAAATAAATTTATAATTGGTACAAGTCCAATCAATAATTTTCAAAGTCCAATATAGGGCTGCATAATTTACTACAATAACAAAAAGGTCAGTAATTGAGAAATAATTATCGCTGTATGTACTTACTGTACTTTACAGTATGTACAATGTAGAAAGTATCTATATACTGCGACTTGTGTTTGAGCTCTTATTCATCTGAGGGCGGATACTATAATGGTTTGAAAAATGACGCTTTATCAAATTTGAGATGAGAATTTTTTTATCACCTCCTTTTTTTGGCATTTATTAAATATTCGAATGTCATTTTATTATTCGATCGTCTGTCCAATCGTCTGATAGTCGAATCGTCGACTATTCGTTGACATCCTTACATTTTTCCAAACACTGATCACACTTAATTAGTACCTACTCTATCCTTTTTTTCACAAAAACATCAAAAATAATTATTAGGTGACTTTCCCACAGTCATTAGAAATCGCGTTCTAAATTTGCCTTAAGGTATGTCACTCTCAGCTTTTTAGAAAAGTTCGGGCAGAACCTTTAACTTCAAAACTATTCATTATAGTTCAATTTTTATGACATAAATTAAACAATGTAAATTGTTCAACATTCAATGAAAAAACTGCTCAAAAACTTGTACGATCACAAAGAAGCATAATTTATGAGGGACTATTTCTTTTGGTGGAATGATATTTAGCAGAAAATTCGGCAAATCTGCACATTTATTAATTTTTTTAATACCTTGAAACTTTAACCTCACATACCTTTACTTGGAGAATTTTTTCCGTTATGATATGCTAGGAATATTAATATGGGTCTCAATTTATATTTTTAGAACAAATTTTTGACCTTCCCTCAACAAACTTTGCTGAGAAATGAAGATATATTGAGAAGACAAGATAAAATTTACACCATTTTTTGTCTGAAAATCGCATATTTTGACAAACATTTCATAATTTACATCACTGACCCCGACTTTTTCATTCCTTATTTTAATTTTCTCAATACTTGTGACTGATCAGGTCTCAACTCGTAAAAAGTTTGATACAAGAAAATATTTTATTGCCTACTGTGAAATCACTAATTCTCGTGGGGTTTAATTTTCGTTGTTTTTGAGGTATGGAAAGACCCACGAATTCATGACCACCACGAAATGTAAAGTTTAATATGAATTATTACTCAACACTTCTCTAATCATGAAATCAAATCCCCACATATCAATAATTTTTGGGCAAACCTCGAAAATTTGCAACCACAAAAATATGTGATTTTACAGTATTTAGATTTCTCATACCCCAAATATGTTCCTTTATAAGTGCAAAAAGGTCACACAATAATTTATGTGCATTAATTTGCAATATTTGTTCAATGATAAATATTATTCAAACTATTTTACGTTAAATAAGATTAAAATTATAGCCATTGTTACATCTGATAGAATATGATAAAGGTTAAAGTGAAATTAAAGAGTTAAAATTTAAGTGCAAAAAGATCAACTTAATTGTACCGTAGCTAAGTAAGATGCACATTGACCCCTTCTTTTCTCTGCGATTTTGAGTCATACTATATGAGTACTTATCCAAAATATACTTCTCAAAAAATCCTTGATATAACATATTTCACGAGTGACATACCTTAATCAGAATTCGTATTGTGATATATTGCGATATTTTTAACTGTATTGCGATATGTATTGCAATATTTTTAATGTTATTAAAATGGCATTTTCTTATTATATTAACTTTAATTTACATACAGAATGTACATAACTATGATAAGTAAGCAAAAGAAAAAAAAATCTTGTTGGTTTTATTATATTTCTGCTTTGAAATACACCCATAAAACAGTTCCTGTCTTACTGTTTGGATTAATAACAAACCTTTCTTACATTTGTTCTTATATTTAATGATAAAATTCCTTTAGTTAGTCAAAGCATTTTGCCTGTATATCGATATTACAAAAACGTATTGTGATACGATATTTTTTGTCGTTGTATTGCAATATACCAAAATATCGATATTTTTGCCCAGCCCTAACGAGGGGTGATCAAAAAGTTCGCAAACAAATTGAATAACTTCCATAAAACAAATGAAATTAGGTTTCGGTGTTCATTACTTTTTAAAATAGCCCTCTCTGGTTTTAATGCATATCTGCCACCGTTCAGCCCATGCGCGAATCACATGGTCCAGGTAGTCAAGTGACATGCTCCTAAGCAATCTGTTCATAGATGCTAAAATATTTTTCCGAGAGATAGATTTCTTACTATGCAAGTTAATTTTTATATCAAGAACAGAGTCCATTTGTCAGAAATGGCCAAATCTCAGAAATAGGATGGTTAGGTAGGTATGTCCTTTCCCAGAAAGAACATGGTGTCCATCACAACCCTAGGCCACTGTCTAAGGAACGTTGATTATCCAATATAGATATATAGTATGGGTGCATTCTTTTTATCATATTTAATATATTTAAAGTCTAAAGCAAACGATGTTTTAGGGGATTTAATGATATATTTGTTAAGATATTAAACTATTTTTCTATCGATAACATCATGATCTTTCATAGCAAATTGCCCAACAAAAGACACGTACATCTCTTCCCCAGCTTGCTTTCGCTGTGCTACAAAACAAACGTCATTTTGAACCATCTCCCTCCCTTCACTAAAACTAACAATCCCATTTATGAATTAATGTAAGAAAAATCTATTGTCTTCATAAACCTTGTACAAATTATTATAAGATACTTCAAAGGAATTTCCAAGTTATACATTAAACTCTACAACCATGCGTTTCTTGCGTAAGACTGTGACAACCATTTTTCGTCATGAGTCATCTACATATTGACATCATTTTCACAGTGATGTCACAGTGATTGAGAAAAGCATTACTTTTCATATGCTATTTATAGAACATGTCCATGACTATAGGTGTGCTAAATTTCACTCAAAATCTAAATTGTGGTTTAGTAAATATTGAGTTCACGAATTTTTTGATCACTCCTCATAGTAGAATACAAACATGTTGTAGGCCATCATGCTTTTCTGTTCATTCATTGGATTGGACCATTGTTTGCTGTAAGCACCGCTGTGTGCAATGACAACAATATACATATAAGGTAGATACCTTGACCTATTAGACTTACCTGTACAACTTCCTGTTTCTCCTGTTCTATTGAAACCATTGTTACATTTACATATATAAGAACCAATGGTATCTATACATTCTGTGTTACTGCTGCCTTGACATGGACTACCACTAGAGCATTCATCTTCATCTACAACAAAAATTGACAATTTGAATTACTACAAACTTCAATACCTTATTTTACAACCAGAAGTCTCTGTCAAGATTGTAGCTCTACTGGTTTGTACTTAAAATAAAGGAAGAGAAAAGAAGCAGTTGGGACTTAAAACTTTACAAAAGCAATAAATAGAATAATGATCCTTGATTAAGTTTCTTTTTGTGGCAAGACTGCAATAAGACTACAATTGTAGGAGTAGCTTTTACTAAAACTTTACAGAATTTTCAATTTTAGTTACCATGGCAACATCAATCTTCAAATCAAAAACACAGAACGGATAATTATGTATCTCAGTGTAGTCTACTTGCATGCCAAATCATATTATAATCAGACTAAAACTGTATTTGGAGTAGCATTTTTGATAAAATTTCACAGAAACTTCAATTTTTAGTAATCAACGCAACATCGTTCATCAAAATCAAAAACCGATAAAGAGAATTATGTATGTTAGTGTAATCTACTTGTGTGCCAAGTTATATTGAAATCAGACCAAAACTGTAGGAGGAGTAGCACTTTAAATGTATTTCTCAGACATTTCTATTTTTAGTAACCAAGGCAACATCATTCATCGAAATCAAAAAATGATATAAAGAATTTTGTATCTTAGTGTAGTCTACTTGTTTGCCAAGTTATATTGAAACAGTCTCCGCGAAAAAGAAAAATTGCCACAGGACATTCGGACAGACAGTTAACACAATTTCACAGGACCAAACGAATTTTCACCGGTCCATAACGTTTATCATATAATGATAATAACGATGTTACTTCGTAGCAAATGAATCAATAAACAGATAACACATTAAAAGATTAACTGAAATGTTTCTTTTTCTTTCCTGGCAGTGTCCCTTCGAAATTTTTCAGAGACATCGTGGCGAAAGTAAGTTTTAAAACAATCACAATCAACAAAACGTTTTAATAATGTGTTTTGGTATTAGTTAAAGCGTCCATATGATGAAGTAGGAAATATATAATTTAAAACCCAACCAAAACAAACCTCGAACAAACGGACCGAATTTACTAGTCAGTGCATCTCACCAATAAGATTTTCACCTGTTTTGTCCGACGGACCGGTGCTTTTGGGATAGACTGTTGAAATCAAACCAAAACTGTAGGAGGAGTAGCATTTTGAATGTATTTCTCAGAAATTTTTATTTTTAGTAACCACAGCAACACCGTTCATCGAAATCAAAAACCAATATACAGAATTATGTATCTTAGTGTAGTCTACTTGTATGTTAAGTTATATTGAAATCAAACCAAAACTGTAGAAGGAGTAGCATTTTAAAAGTATTTCATAGAAATTTCTATTTTTAGTTACCAAGGCAACACCGTCCATCAAAATGAAAAACCGATAGAATTATGTATCTTATTGTAGTACTTGTGTGTCAAGTTATATCGAAATTATACTAAAACTGTAGGAGGAGTAGTATTTTAAAAGCATTAAACAGAAATTTTTATTTTTAGTAGTAAACACGGTAACACTGTTCATCGAAATCAAAAGCTGATACAAAGAATTATGTATCTTAGTGTATCTACTTGTGTGCCAAGTTATATTGAAATCAGACCAAAACTGTAGAAGGAGTAGCATTTTGAAAAATTGTTTAGAGACAGACAGACAGCTAGACAGACAGATGGATGGACGACGAACGCATTACTATCACATAAGCTCTTCTGGTCTCTGACCAGTAGAGCTAAAAATTATTTTTATTAAAAACTTTAATCTAAACTCAGTAAAGAAGTTTACATCTATATTTATGGCCATAATAAATAAATTGCTAGATTCTCATCCGAATTTTTTTAAAAATCGAGGCGGGCGGGCGGCTTTTATTTTATATTTTTTATTTTTTCAATTTTGCAGATTTTTTATTGACCTTGTCAATCGGTGTAATTTTATCTACAATACCTGAATAAAAGTCATAGTAAAGGTTCAATTATCGCTTACTTCACATTATCACCAATCTTCTTTAACCAATGACCCTTGTTTACAATATATACGCATGTATAACAGCAATCACCACCTTTTCAGCTGTCAAAAACCATGACGACTTTCGCGGGGTTTAAAACGAAAGTAGAATGGTAGATGAATACCGATCCCGATCAGAATTAAACCGTAGAAAAACAAAAATAAAAAAAATCGAGGCGGGGGTATAAAATCGGGGCGGGCGGGGATGAGAATCTAGGAATATTTTTATTATGGCCTATCCGTCAAAAGTCCCTGAAACACACATTTTGGATCCATTCCAATTAATACATACTTATAGGAATAAATGGCATTATTCAGAAAACAGGCTTCTTACTTGGAATAAATGTACAGTAGTGTGACATAAATGAGTTCGCAAAATGGACGCCGTCATTCATGTGTGCGGTGCGCTTGCAGTATGTAAAACCTAATTTCTATCAATAAAATAATATTACCACTTACCTTTTTTGTGTTAATATTTTGTTATATGGCCTCTAGAGCGTAGAACACTTGGAATTCTCCTGGGAATGCTTGCATATAAACTCTGAATTTAGTGCAAAGGGAGGCTACCCCATATTTCATGGACGATTCGCTCCAGATCATTCGCGTTTCTGACCTCATGTGTCCTCCTTTGTACACGGATTTTGAGCACTCTTCAGACATTTTCTATAATATTGAGATCAGGACTTTGTTGGGGCCATGCTAGAGGTTAACGTTGTTGTTTTGTTTCCAACGATTTGCAAAAGCGGAGACATGACAGGGGGCATTGTCTTCTTGGAAAGTCCAGCGTCGGTTTGGGAAATGACGAGCGATTACAGGCCAAAGACACACATCAAGAATTGTAATATATTTCTCGCTATTCATGTTCCCATCCACAATTTTTAAGGTACCAACTCCATTATTACAAATGCAACCCCAAAACATGAGGGAGGCCCGACAGATCATTTCCAAATCATCACGCAACCCGACACATTCAGGACGGATTCTTTCCTCACTTTTCTTCCAGACATGAACTTTATCGTTATTTCCAACAACTATCTTAGTCTCATCACTGAATATAATGGATGACCAATGATTGTTTACTATCCAGTGCAATTTCTGTTGACAAAATCGGGTTCTCTTCTCTCTATTCACGTGTGAAACAGTTGTTTTCTTTGAAACTACACACCTCTTGTAACCTTCCTCTGATAATCGCCTGTGAACTGTTCTGAGTGACACATTAGATCCTGTCCTGGCATTGAATCTGGATGTTATACCTTTTAAAGTCTGACGACGGCTGATTTTAATGCTTCGGAAAAGAACCCTGTCATCTCTCTGTGAAGTTTTTCGTTTCACCCCACTTCTCGGTAAATTTTCTATGTTACCCCTTTCCCTCACACGTTTGAGAAATTTTTGGATGGTATGTCTGTTAATTCCGGTTAGATTCTCAATTTTATAGCTTGACAAACCTTCATTTGACATCTGAATGATTATTTCTTTTAGATCACTCGTCAATTCTCGACCATGGGGAGCCATGTCTCCAAGCAGACGAAAATTATTTATCAAAGGGGAATAATCCAAATTTACAACAATGGACTAATTTAATTAAGTCGTACCTGAATTTTAACTTACGGTAATATTCTTTTCCTTTAAGAGAAGCAATTACGTTAATTCAGCAACTGGTTCACCGCCCTTCTTAAATACTTACGATGACGGCGGCCATTTTGCGAACTCATTTATGTCACACTACTGTAGTTTGAACAACTCGTAGTTTTGTGTCTGATGTTTGATAAACATGCCGCTGAAGGAGTTACCTATCCTGTTAGTATAATTAGGTCCCTGATATATATATTTAATTTTTGACCATGAAATTTACAATTTTTGTTCCTCTTCACCCATAGATGCTGCGTATTTCAACAGTCTGATTGAACCCCTAAACAGGGGTAAACGAAGTAGGAAAACCATAACCCAAACGGGGGTATGAGCATGCACAGCTGCTTCAAAACGTGCGTATTTCACGGAAAAAGTAGAGGTCTATAAAAAACTCTGGTGCAAAGTAACCAATCATTTCGTGTACATAAAACTACATGGAAATGATAGATTAAAGGTGTTTTAAGAGTTTGTATTTTACAAAAATACAACTTTATTTTACAAATCGGGATTTATTTACTGGCAAAGTTGGCGATCTTGAGCTCTTTGATATCCAGGTATTTTAGATAAAATATATTTGATGAAAAAAAAAATAACAGATATTAAAATGAAATTATAAAAGAAATATATTAATCTGTCTTATATCTTTTACTTTTAATAATAAAATGCACTAAAATGTTGTGTTAATATTGATTTAATTATGAACGTAGGTTTCAGTTCGTGTTTCCTCTGTCTAGCAGTCGGCGGTCTTTATTATCGATAATCATGTTCATGAAGTATTAAAGAATACAGTTAAAAATAAAATTATAATGCAGTTTATTGAATTTATTGTCTTTTATATCTTAGAAGGATTAAATTAAATATTTGGATTTTTTTTTAAATAATATTAAATACAATCGTTTGGGAGAAAACATGATTACATTTTATTTCATATAAATCTAGATTCAAAATTCATATTTTCCTCATTCTTAGAATATTTTTCTTTGTGATTTGAAGTCCATAATTTAATAAAATTTTATCTGAAACGTCACACAAAAATTGATAATTTATTTCATGAAAGGCGGAAAAATATTTCGTTATTCCTACATTATAAATTTAAATTATGGAAAACCTACATTATAAATTCAAATTATGGAAAATGTAACCTTTTGATTTTTTTCTGTTGACATTTTACCATTTTTTTAGTTAGTTTTAAAATGAATTTACTAATTTACAAATTCATTGTTACTATAGTAAACACTAGTCTTTAAATTTTTTTGAACTTCCTCATAAACCTAATATATGCTAACAAAATATGTCACTCTTTACCACGTGTACAAGCTCACTAATTACAACCACGTTTTTCTTAATAACTTAGTTGTTATTCTCTATTAATCCATATTTTCCAGGGCTAAAACTAAACTTAAAATTCCACTAGCCCTTTGGGCACCTAAAGTTTCAAATTTAGGAGCCTACAGCTAAATTTGTTAGCCCACAATCTCTGTGATTATTTTTTAACCCTTTAAATACACTGGAGCTAAATTAGAAACCAATTTAATATACATATATCTGTTTGAATGAAAATTGAAGTTCTTACTGTGTAAAATCAAATATCATATACAAATTTAAATATAGGAAATGATATTAAATTCAATAAATAATAATTTTATTATCCTTTAGGCGGAAGCCGCCTATTGCATTTGCTTTGATGACCTTTTTACCTCTCAAGATGTCAAAGGTCAATTTTGCCCTCTGACATGGTACTCCAAACGGATGTATCTTAAACTAAGGGCATACAACCGCTACTCATATTCGACACCCTTCCCAATCTTTATCGTTATTATCATATCAAAATCGTGTGTTATGGCTGAATTTATTTTAACAATTTATTTTGATTAATATAAAACAAAGTCCAATAAAATAATAGCCTAATAATAAAACTAATAGTTACTTTAGTACTCCTGATACGTTTCACATTTGAGAGAAGAACGAACGACAGCTCTGTATGTTTAAAACAAAAACAAATGGGGTCCAACATCACGGGGTCCTGAAGCGATGTTTAGAAATATTACGAGAGACAAAATAGTTCAATTAAGTAGGTATTATTATATCTAAGAATTAATGACAGGTACATGTATACAGCTACTAATGAACTAATCTTTTAAATAATCTATTGGAAAATAGAAGAAAAGAGGTATGTAGTTCCTTTTATCAATTGTTTATTTATACTTAAGTACTACTTCCGCGTAATAATCTAACATGAGACGATTCAGCGTGAATTTATTGTAAACAAACCCACATGGAGTACAAATGATTTACAATGGAAGTGACAGGATTCTCTTCAACATTAGCAAGGTAACTCACGTTGTCTGATTAGCTTATCTTTCATTGTAACCTTTATCTTTATTGTTTTAACTTGAAAATGTCGCCTCCCTATGCAGACATGCTTTAATTAGATATCGTAACATGATACCTGTTTTGGTCGGTCTTGATCGAACGAACTGATACTGTATCTGCATATAATTTCATGCATGCCTGGGAGAAATTATTTGAGGAATTATCATGCCGAGTCTATGTATACATTTATATATCCCGCATTTAATGTAAATATGTTGAAGGATGGTCCAAAGCTATGAAAATTGGACAGTTTCAAAGACACAATTTTAGTCAGTATAGATGTGTCCCTACGGAGGCAGCTAACAAAGAGCGGGATAATTAACATTGCATGGTGAATATGTAGAAATTTTGCTCTGTGTCATCTCTATAAATAAGAAAAACTCAACTCAGCACAACCGCAGTCAGATACACTATTCTAATGATTCTGAAGGTGAGTACATGTATTAAATCAATTCAATATATTTCAAGTGGGATAAGTGTCACAAGTTATGATACATATATGTTTGATAGCATAACGAATTTGCTTGTTATTATAATAATGACAAAAATGAACCGAATATTTTTTGAAAGTATTTGATATTTTGTATTTTTGTTAAATTGACTTATTTTCTTTTCAATTTTTCAAATACACCAAACTAACTTTTATCAGTCCATATCTTGTATATCCTATATACATTTAATCTGTTTTCTTGCAAATGCATGATTACGAACAATAGTAGGCTTTTGAGAGAGAGAGAGAGAGAGAGAGAGAGAAATACAGGAAACTATTAGGGAAGTCAAATCGGTCAAATCATTTGATAATTAATAATCGCTTAATCGGACTTTTCCCCGATTGAATACTCGGTTACTAACGGTAAAATGTAGATAAAAGTTTGTTCTTGAGCCTAGTTAATCTCTATTAACCCACAAAAATATACAAATAAACAATAATTCGATTGGAAATTATTTTTTAGTACTTAAGTTATTTATCAAATAAAAAGCAAAAAAAAATTATGCACAATTAATACACCCAAAATTACAAAAGGTTGTTTTGGATCTATTTGATCAACGCAAAAGGAGGACAAACTGTTGTGCAGGTTTGTTTATTAAAAAAGCGAAACTTCAAAGATAAGAAATGGATGTTGAAGGGATTGCATGCTCATAGTCTTATAATACTTTATTTATTGGTTGTTTCCAGTTTATACACTAAACCTAATTAGCAAATTGACTCTCATCTGTTTTGAATCTTTAGTTATTTCTAAATATATATTTCTTTACTGTTGAAGTGGGTAGCTGCATTTCTATGCACGTCATATTTCACTGCTGTGTACTGCAAATACTTCAATCATTATGATGTATACTGAAAACAATTATTAAAGTCACTCATGCAAAAATTAAGGACCACGTACAATAGTTGAGAACGACTATGTGCCTGCTAATTGTCAGTAATTACTGTATATTCACAGCTACATGTAGAGGCGATAACGGGTGTTTTACAGCTAGGTGAAGATGAAAACATGCTAATTACCGTTTGCATATTTAAGTAAATATTGTTAAGTTTTGATAAACATATTTACTTTGAAAAAAGAAATTATTTAATATACATCCGAGTAACCGAGTATCTATTTTTAGTATTCAGTACTTGGACGTTGGATCGAGTACCCGCTTAAGTTGATGTCCCTAGAAAATATATTAAATATATCATAAAGGGCTATTTGAAATCCTTGATTTCATTTATTGAAAGTCGGATAAATTGTAAAAGAATATTTGCTAAATATAATTATGAGATATTCTTTATTTTTTTCACTTATTCACTTTGTAGAAAATTCTAATAAGAGACAGTTGTCAGGAGAATGGTGGAGACAATCTCCAGAAAAGAAAACACTACTGATATTAGGATGCATGTACCAATATTTTACGATCCCGAAAAAACAAGTTTACCACAGGAATAAAAAAATATTGTCTGGCGTTCAAGGGTCTGCCATGGTAGGAGCTCTCCTGAAAAATATCCATTTATTGTGGACATCATGACACAGGGCTCACCTGTCATCAGCATTAGAGACTTGTGATTTGTTCTACCTGGGCCATACGTGTATTGAATCAAGACATTTATAGAATCACAAGTAAATTGTAAATCTATTTAAGGTCTTCTATGTATGTTGCATCCTTATTTGATTTGCAACTTAACAAGACTTTGTTTCATTGGTACTATGTCAACTTAATATACAGACAAATCAAAAGCAGTTGTGATGTTTATTGTTTTCTATTACTCATTAGTACTCATTTTTGTGTGAAATTTAATAATTATTCATTTCTTGCTCCCAAAAACCATATCTTACAAATTTCATGTATAATTGCAACTTGCATTTCAATTTTATCTTGTTATACTTTACAAAAATAAATGTTAAAATGATCATATTGCTATTGACTTCACCTATTCTCATCTGTCCGCTTCAAAAGGGAGACATATTGTTAATTCTTGTTCTTTAGATTCAATCCTTCAAAATATTTATTAACACCCCCCCCCCCTTAAGATAGATCTACTTCAAATATGTGTCTTTAAAGTTTTGCACATGAGGACTTGCAATCATGCTTCCGCCTATCAGTACTTTCAGTACTTTGATTACTACAAGGTAATAAATATAGTCCATTTTCTGAACATTGGACTGTAAAGCCTACTGATGAAATGACACTGACACATGAATAAGATTTCTTTTAGTTTAAATATTTTTGAAACACATCTGAAATAAGTAGGCACCTAATAACACTTCCTATTCATATGACTGAGTAACTGAAAATAAAGAAATTGGATATCTACCATGTATCAACCATACACAGAGGAATGGAGGAAATTCAGTTTAGGAAAAAACAAGATTGTTTTAGGGATTTCACAAATCATGTAGGACCGGTAAATGGATTAGACGAAGGATATTTTTAAAAACAATAGGACCATGCTACTCTGATTTATTTGGTTGACTGGGAGTTTTAAAACAAAAACATGGGAAAAGGTCTGTTTTTCATCAAGGGAACTAGGAATGAATTCTGGTCTTGTAGATTTTTAATTTACCATTTTATGAGTCCATACCAAATTTTATTTGCAATTAGTGAGTGGGCGAGTGTTAAGTTTAAACCCTGTTTCAAAAGAAGTTAATTACCACCAAGATTCAATAAAGCATTTAACATAAAAAATTTATAAAAGGTAAACTTACTGATGCATGGATCTAAATTTGAAAATTGCCCGTCACTTCCACATGTAACATCTTTTTCACCACTGCTGGTACCATTCACTATAAATCCAGTATCACACTTCAGTTTGGCTGTCCCTTTAAATGCCACATCACCAGCTGCTTCAACCTTACCATACATCACCTGTGGTATTGGGCACTTTATTTCTGAAATTAATAAATGTAAACAGATAGTTACATGTTCAATAAAAGTTGCAGTTCTAGTTACTGCAACACATAAGATTGAAAGAACAGCACCATATACAAATATATGTATGCTTACACCATGAAAGGTAATTCGTATTTCAAAGTACAAATTACAAGGGTTCTCCAAAAAGTTCGTGGACAATGTCATTTTTTGTTAAAATAAATGGTTCTATATATATCATTTGTATATCAAAATATTTCTTATGAACAAGAGACCCACGGTCCTTATAGGTCACCTGAGTATTGTGTAACAACTTTCAAACAATTAAATTTGGTTCGTGTTTTAAACCAGAGGCCATGAAATTCACAATTCACAATTCTGAAAGAGGCTCCATTGCTTATCATAATTATACACTTAGCATGCTTATTCTATTTAATTAACACCCAGAGATAGATCAGAGTAACAAAGAGAAAATGCACTTCAACTTTATAACCTGTTGTGCACCTCACCCCAAAGGAACCACTGATCCTCGGGCACATATTTCAAAATTTTGCAAATTTTATCATAAAATGGTTGATTAATACCAAAGAGCAGATTTCAAAGCATTACATATTGTAATTTATTTTCAGACTATGTACCCCCCCAGGGGGCATAAAAAATAACCATCTTGCTAGATGCAACTTTCTTCATCATAAATATATATATATTGATCATTGGCATAAAACCCAGAAGCAGAGAAGAAGATTTTTCAAAGAATAATGCATTTTCAATATATGATCAATAGAGACCTACCCTAACACCAGAAACCCTGACCCTGGGGCCATAAAATTCAAAATTTTGAAAGAGGAACTCTTGTTCATCATAACTACATGTATGTACTTAGTTAGTTCACTTAATACCCAGGAGCAGAAAAGAAGATTTTCAAAGAATAATGCATTTTCACTATATAATCAATAGAGCCCCGCCCTAACACCAGAAACCCTGACCCTGGGACAATAAAATTCACAACAGCACATGACACATGATGCACGACATGATGCACGACACGATGCACGACACGATGCACGACACATGACGACGGACGAAGATGGATAGCAATAGGTCACCTGAGTTACTCAGGTGACCTGAAAACCAAGACAGACAGATTTCATTTTTACGGATGTAACTTTATATTTTTGTAAAATTCGGGGTCTTTAAAGGTCGCGGATAGTGTGCACGGACCAAGGTTAAATGCCATAAAATTTGAAATAAAGTGTTTGGATTAAAATGAGTTTTTTTTTTTTTTTTTGTAAAACAAGTTAAAGTTTAATAAAAAATTATACGCAACACAAATAAAGAGGATATCATTTTTTGATATCTTGAATGTCGGACACTATACATAGAAAGTGAAACAAGAGGTCCATGGGCCACATCGCTCACCCGAGCACATGTGCTAGTTAAAAAACAAAAATTAGCTCAGTATTGAATAATTTAGTTGTTGGAGGAGGGGGATTTGAATTTTTTATTACTTGATAATGTCACTATATCAATGAAGCATACATGTATAATTTTGCCATACTTGAGAAGAAAAGTTTTAAAGATTTTTCCTATATATTCCTGTGTAAAACTTTGATCAGCCATTGTGGCCTCGCCCTACCTCCGGGGGTCATGACTTGAACAAATTTGAATCTACTCTACCTGAGGATGTTTCAACATGAGTTTCATCTTTTCTGGTCCAATGGTTCTGAAGACGATTTATGAAAATATTCCTCTGTACTCTTATATTCAACTTTGATCAGCCATTGTAGCCCCGCCCTACCTCCGGGGGTCATGATTTAAATACACTTAAATCTACATGTACTCTGCCTGAGGATGTTTTCACTCGAGTTTCATCTTTCCTTGCCCAGTGGTTCTGGAGAAGAAGAGTTTTAAAGATTTTCCCTATATATTCCATGAAAACTTTGATCAGCCATTGTGGCCCCGCCCTACCCCCGGGGGTCAAGATTTGAACAAATTTGAATCTACACTACCTGTGGATGCTTCCACATGAGTGTCATCTTTCCTGGCCCTGTGGTTCTGGAGAAGAAGATTTTTAAAGATTTTCCCAGTATATTCCTATGAAAACTTTGATCAGCCATTGTAGCCCCGCCCTACCCCCAAGGGTCATTGTTTGAACAAACTTGAATCTGCACTATCTGAGGATGTTTTCACATGAGTTTCATCTTTCATGGCCATGTGGTTCTGGAGAAGATTTTTAAAGATTTTCCCTATATATTCCTATGTAAACTTCGATCAGCCATTGTGGCCCGTCCTACCCCCGGGGGTCATTATTTGAACAATCTTGAATCTACACTAACTGGGGATGCTTCCACATGAGTTTCATCTTTCCTGGCCCAGTGGTTCTGGAGAAGAAGGTTTTTAAAGAATTTCCATATATATTTCTATGTAAAACATTGACCAGCCATTGTGGTCCCGCCCTTACCCCAGGGGTCATGATTTGAACAAACTTGAATCTACACTACCTGAGGATGATTCCACATAAGTTTCATATTTCCTGGCATAGTGGTTCTTGAGAAGAAGATTTTGAAAGCCTACCACCAAATTTTAACTATTTCTAAATTATCTCCCCTTGAGTAAGGGTGTGGCCCTTCATTTGAACAAAATTGAATCCCCTTTACCTAAGGATACTTTGTGGCAAGTTTGGTTGACATTGGCCCATCTTCTTGAGAAGATGAAAATGTGAAAATTTTACAACGACTACGACGACGACAACGACAATAACAACGACGACAGAGTGAGACAACGGACAAATTTTGATCAGAAAAGCTCACTTGAGCCTTTGGCTTAGGTGAGCTAAAAAGCTTTGATACGGTTTAATTACAAGGTAGCATATAATCCCTATCAACCCCCTCTATAAGCGCCCCTAGGTCTTTTTCAGGAAATATGTGCCCCCTGTACAGTGATTAAAATCAACTAGAATCATATTAAAAGTCTGCCAAAATTTGAAGAAAGTGAAAATAAAACTTGTCCATTATCCAATATCTCGGTGGAAAATGAGTCATTTAGCATTATTTGGGTGGATTATTTTCACTTAAGGTAATGTTATTTTCACTTAAGGTAACGTTAGACATTATTTCAGTGGTCCTTCGAATTTTCGAATTGTTGCAAGAGCGAGAATTAAAGAAAAATGGCAGTTTCCTAATCAAAAAACATGTCACAAATTTTCATTTCCTGTAATGGTGTACCGCTGTGAGCCCATGAATGGTGTGAAATTCAAAATATGTGACATTTTGTACAACTGGTACATATCACATATGAGAGCATAAAATATTTGTGAAAGACAAAGCAATTACAGCAACATCTTTGATGTAAGTTGCTGACAAGTAATTGTAATTTTAAAACTTCTTACCCTGACAAGTTGGAGTAGGATGTGACCATGTGCCATTTGATCTACAGTTGATGTACACAGACCCTAAAAGGTCATATCCAGGATTACAGCTGAACATCAAAACAGTGGCATAATTTGTTCCATTCCCAGCAGTTTCATTTACTTTTCCATTGCTTGGAGGATTTATAGATGGGCATTGTTGAGCTGAAATTAATCTCATATATAATATATATTCAATACAAAGAATTATGAAATCAATGAAACACCTTGACAGAAATAAAAAATCATAATGCTTTAAGAATCAAATTTCAGTTATGAAAATATAAGGTACACTGAAAGGAAATCGGAGTGGAATATCTTGTCTGTAAATGTTTCTTCACATACCATTGCATACAGGTGGTATCTCCCACATTCCATTTGCCTGACATTTTATGGTGGGAGAAACATTCATTGTGAAGCCTCCATCACATTCATATGTTGCATTGTCTCCAACTTTTGGTCCAGTTGCATTTTTCAATATTCCATTTGGAATTGCTGGTGGAGTACCACAGTATGTTACTGCAATTCAAATAGTGTGCATTGAAGACCAAGAAATTATTTCATACTTGTAATTTCACATTTGGCAAGAAATATGCAGTGAAAACTGTCTAATCCAACCTCTAAGCATTCCATTTCCCTGTGAATTCAATCCCTAATTTAAATTTCCATTTTACTATTTTACATGTTCTTTACATTGTGTTTTTCCATTCAAGCAAACGTAAAGATATTATTAATTTCAGTTAAGTGTGTCGTTTTGCATTACGTCACAATCTTTTTCGACCGATGGATCCAGCTTAAACAATTCATGCCCCCACTGTGTGATTGGTAAACTCATATTATCAACAGTGACATGGAAAAAGTCTGTTGCACAAGCAACCAATCAGAGATTAGAAGAAACTTCCAGTCGTAAAGCTTGCAGTTAGGAGGCATATACTATTTACCTCGAGCGCAACTGTCATCATAGGCTGTGACATAATGCAGAAATGTACGCTTAACTGAAATTGATATTTAAGAACTTAGTCCTGTCTTTTCTGACACTAAGTATGGCCTATTAGTGCATGTCAGACTAGGAAAGTTTCACTGTATCTGAAATGGTTTACATGCATACATCTAAATTTTTTCAAATTTCAAATGACAATTGTTTTAAATCAATCATGATATAAAAACTTTACTTTGCATACCTTCTGCTTGATGAACTGAATTTTCAGGAAAAAAAACTTTACAAAATGGCACACACTTGGAATAATGTAGGTACTTCTTTTATTGACAAATATAAGAAAAACCTAGATGAGATCTCGTTGCGAGGAACGAGTAGGTCTTCCGTCCGATTTCTAATGGGATAAGACCTGTGTTGGGCTGACAAAAAACAACACTGACTGACTGACGGACGGGTCAAAAACATTATAAGGGGTATACGTTGTATAAGGAGTATAATATAAACAAAAAGTTTAGCATTTCTCACTGGAACATAAAAGTCATCCTTTTTATTTTCCTAACAATGACAATAAGACCAACATGACTAAAATTTGCATGGGTGTTGTGTGTAACTTGGTGTGCAGAGAAAGTGCTGGATTAAATAAACCGACTGTCATTGATTGAACTTCTTGATTTGATATCAGAGTATATGAGGCATATATTTTTAATGCTGATGAGACAGGGTTGGTCTATAGATGTAAACATGACAAATCCTTGCGTCTATGTGGCAAGGAATGTCTGATGTTCAAGACCGAACTTTTCCATGTGCAGATAGTCCGGATACTTTTCCAACACGAGTCAACAAAAACAGTGAAAAACAAAATGTGTTTGTGAAACACTGATGCCCCCTGTATGGCAACATAGCAAAAATTAAACTTTTCTTAAATGCAAATTTAATATATTGGTACCCAAAGTAGGTTATTCTCACTGGAAATACAACTGTGAAATGTGAAAGAAGGCCAAGATTAAAGTTTTTTCATAAGTACGGAAATCTCTAAGGCCAAAAGATCAAGGTAATTGGTATCCAATGAAAGGCCTTGCCTCAAAGAATACATATTTGAAGTATGAAAGCCCTAGTCCTAACCCTTCAACAGTTATGACAAGGTAAAAAAAATTAAAGGTAGTTCAAACTCCAAGGTCAATCTCAAAGGGTCAAAGTTCTTAATATCAAATGAAAGGTTTTGTCACAAGGATTAAATCTGTAAAGTATGAAAGCACTAGCCTAACTCTTTAAAAGTAATGGCTAAAGTCTGCTTTTTAAAAGTAGGTCAAACTCCAAGATAAGGTTAAAGAGTTCTTGGTATCAAATGGAGGGTCTTCTCACAAGGATAACATATGTGAAGTATGAAAGCACTAGTCCTTAACATTCAAAAGAGATGGCCAAGGTTAAAGTTTTTTCCTAAGTTTGGAAATCTCCAAGGTCAAGGTCAAAAGGTCAAAGTTGCCGGTATCCAATGAAAGGTCTTTCCACAAAGAATGCAGGTCTGAAGTATAAATGTCCTGGTATCTACTGTTTAAAAGATAAGGCCAAAGTAAAAGTTTGGAATTTTTGTGTAAAAATGGGTCAAACTCAAAGGTCAAGGTCAAAAGGTCAAATTCGATGGTAGCCAAAGAAAGGTCTTGTCACACGAAATACACACGTGGAATATTAAAGTCATAGCTACACTAAATCAAAAGTTATGGGCAAGGTTAAAGTTTTTGCGGATAAACAGACAAACACAGAGACAGATAGACAGAGAGAGAGACAGACAGATGAACACGACAAAAACTATATACTAGTACCCCTGAAACTTCGTTTACGGGGGCATAATTAGAGACTTATATGGAAAATAGAGAAGCAAGCACACATTTTTTTTTCAAAAACACTGCATGTATTGTTATGTAAAGAAAATCATGAATTCTAGCAAATATACATTTTCTACATATCTACATTTATATATAACTCATGGCACAAACTTAAGATGAAATTTAGTTAATCTGAAATAAATCTCAAGGTCCCTTAAATTTCAGTGTAAACATGGTAAAGGAGATTGAATGTATATACAATAAAACAATTATCAAGGTAAACTGTGACTTACTCTGGCAGTCAGGAATTCTGGAAACATTCCACATCCCTCCATGTAAACATTTTAGAGACACGGAGCTTTCCTTGTTGTATTCCTCTTGTTTAAATGAGTAGCCAGTCTGACAGGACAGAGTTATCACTGTATTCAGAGCTGTGTACTTCCCAGATACTGAATTCACTGTCCACTGAGAAATGGTTAAAATCGGGCAATCTATATAATTCAATTTTTATAATAAATCTATTAACTTTTTAGTTGTGCAATTTTTTTTACTCAATATTAGATTTCATCAAGAAAAACAATAAGAAGACATGTTGCTTTCAGCTATTTTTAGATGACAAGCCATAGTTAATTTTATAAAGGAATGTGCTAGGAACACTTGGTTGGAAGCATTTTGGATTTGCAGCTTTAAAAATGCAGACTTCTTGTGTGTAATTTTTTGTGCGTTTTAAGATGATTGATAATCTTTTCTCATGCTGCTAAACACTTATCTTACCAATAGAAAAATCAGCACTGAATCCCTTTTCCACAAGCACAAGGTTGGATTTAAAAGTCACATTGAGGTGGCCATCAGTAGAACTAAATATTACTGCATTTGAGACAGTATCAAGCCCCGTTAATCCACTTCCAGTATGCAATGCAGTTCCTGCTGTATCATTGTAGATCTACAATTTTATAAATTTCTTTATAATGCAAAATTATACATTTTTTCTGGTTTTTGACCAACAGAACTTCAACATGCATCTGAATTTTATACAAAAGGCTTATCTAAGACAATGGCTTGAGCAACTGTGAATTCTGATTTTGATAATATTGACCTTTAAAATTCTTTAAACAATTTTCAAATAAGCAAATGCATAAACCTAATCCAACATAATGAATTATTTCAAAGTGTCTTCTACAGTTCAAAAGCTGTTGTCATGAAAATGATGAATAGAAAGAAAGGCACTTATCAAAATCAATATTCCATATGAGTGATGATAAAAAATCAAAGGCCTGAAGGGACTGAGAGTCAACTCACTTGAGTTTATTAAGCTTTTTCATACAACATGTCACCATGCCTTTTATTCAGAATTCTGTGTGAGGACAGTACGCATATCAATATAATATAGATATGAAATAAATAAAAATTAACACGCTTGAGTAAAATATTTTTGTTTTACAACATATAAACAACTATTTTGAATAAATTATTCTTATCTGCATAGAAATATTTTGTTTATTTCAATGCAAAAAAAAGATTTATTACCAATTAAACATATCGTGATACATATCCCATCTTGGCTCAAATATCGTGATACGTATCGATGTAGAAAAAGTTGTATCGTCCCAGCCCTACTTCTGGCTCTCAAATAACCAAAATTGATTTAATTAAAATCAGTGATTTTATTGTAAAATATTGTGAATGTCCATCTAATTTTATAGGGATTTTTTCTGTTCTTGTTATATGAAAGCTTTTATGCCCCTGTCATTAAAAATTCACGACAGGATCATATAGTTTTAATACTCTGTCAATTTGTCTGTCTAGCTGACTGTTAGTTTTTCCCTAAACATTTCAACCTTGTCCAAAACCTTTGAATGGTTGAAATCTTGGCTTTCATATCCTTGCGACAATACCTTTCTTTGGATACCATCATATCTGACCTCTTGACCTTAAAGTTTGATCCACTTTTGCAAAATGTTACCATTCTTTAGCAAAGGCTTTAAATTTTGAGTAGCTGGTGCAAGCGCTTTTATATTTCAAATTTATATTCCTTGAAGAGCTTCCCTTGGGTTCCAACAATTTTGACCCTTTAACCTTTTCTTGTGACAAGTCAATCCCTGGAGTACTTGTAAACTATTTTGACCCTAACCATTGATTATAACCTACTTTCAAAAAAAATTAAATCTTGGTCATAACTTTTGAATGAATGGCACTACAGCTTTCATACTTCTGAGGTTTATTTCTTAAATTGTGACAATATCATCCCTTGAGTAGCCAGAATTTTTTCCTCTGACTCTGTTGGGGTTACATTAGCTGCAGAACTGTAACTCTCCGAAAAACAAGAGGCCCATGGGCCACATCGCTCACCTGAGCCAAGGGTAGGACTAGTATAAAATGGCTTTTTATTGTAAAGTTTAAATCCAAAAGTAGTCCCATGACCAATCATGGATTTGCTATTTTTTAGAAAATGATTGAGAAGAAGATTTTTAAAGAATTTTCCTATATATTTCTATGTAAAACTTTGGTCGGCCATTTTGGCCCCGCCCTACACCGGGGGTCATGATTTGAACAAAATTGAATCTACACTACCTGAGCATGCTTCAATATATATATGATGAATTATGGCTTTGTCATTCTTGAGAAGAAGATTTTTAAAGAATTTTCCTATATATCTCTATGTAAAACCTTGGTCGGCCATTTTGGCCCTACCCTACCCCCGGGGGTCATGGTTTGAACAAACTTGAATCTACACTACCTGAGCATGCTTCCATATAAATATGATGAATTATGGCTTTTTCATTCTTGAGAAGAAGATTTTTAAAGAATTTTCCTATATATTTCTATGTAAAACCTTGGTCGGCCATTTTGGCCCCGCCCTACCCCCGGGGGTCATGATTTGAACAAACTTGAATCTACACTACCTGAGCATGCTTCCATATAAATATGATGAATTATGGCTTTGTCATTCTTGAGAAGAAGATTTTTAAAGAATTTTCCTATATATTTCTATGTAAAACCTTGGTCGGCCATTTTGGCCCCGCCCTACCCCCCGGGGTCATGATTTGAACAAACTTGAATCTACACTACCTGAGCATGCTTCCATATAAATATGATGAATTATGGCTTTGTCATTCTTGAGAAGAAGATTTTTAAAGAATTTTCCTATATATTTCTATGTAAAACTTTGGTCGGCCATTTTGGCCCCGCTCTACCCCCGGGGGTCATGATTTGAACAAAATTGAATCTACACTACCTGAACATGCTTCCATATAAATATGATGAATAATGGCTTTGTCATTCTTGAGAAGAAGATTTTTAAAGAATTTTCCTATATATTTCTATGTATAAACATTGGTCGGCCATTTTGGCCCCGCCCTACCCCCGGGGGTCATGATTTGAACAAACTTGAATCTACATTACCTGAGCATGCTTCCATATAAATATGATGAATTATGGCTTTGTCATTCTTGAGAATAAGATTTTAAAAGAATTTTCCTATATATTTCTATGTAAAACTTTGGTCGGCCATTTTGGCCCCGCCCTACCCCCCGGGTCATGATTTGAACAAACTTGAATCTACACTACCTGAGCATGTTTCCATATAAATATGATGAATTATGGCTTTGCCATTCTTGAGAAGAAGATTTTTAAAGAATTTTCCTATATATTTCTATGTAAAACTTTGGTCGGCCATTTTGGCCCCGCCCTACCCCCGAGGGTCATGATTTGAACAAACTTGAATCTACACTACCTGAGGATGTTTCCCCATAAGTTTCATCTTTCCTGGCATAGTGGTTCTTGAGAAGAAGATTTTTAAAATATACCACTAAATTTTCATTAATTCCCAATTATCTCCCCTTGACTAAGGGCGTGGCCCTTCATTTGAACAAACTTGAATCCCCTTCACCCAAGGATACTTTGTGGCAAGTTTGGTTGAAATTGGCCCAGCGGTTCTTGAGAAGAAGTCGAAAATGTGAAAAGTTTACAGAAAGACAGACGGACAGACGGACAGACAGACAGACGGACAGACGGACGCCGGACAAAATGTGATCAGAAAAGCTCACTTGAGCCTTCGGCTCAGGTGAGCTAAAAATATATAAATTGACAGACTGGACAGCTACAGTGCCACCCATTGTAAAAACTGTATACTTATTGCGCACAAAAAGTTACCCTTAATTCTGGATTAATTCTTCCAAATTCTTAGCTAAATCGTGAAAAAGATAGATTTCTATAAATTCCTTACTCCTCTGTCGAGTACTCTCGTAGTTGACATCTGCACAAAGTGCGTTGGACTGAATTATCTTGCAAACCAAAATGGCAGTATAAATAGATGACATTTTCAATGATCTCAATTGCAGGGCCAGGAGGGCTATTAACAACAATTATAAAGAATGTTTTGTTGTGGAAACAGTGAAAAGATATGTAAGGATCACACGGTAAGTAATATTTTGAGATGCAAGTTTTAGAAACATAGTGAAATAAACCAATAAACAGCGCACTTTTCTGTGCGCAATAAATATACAGTTTTTACAATGGGTGGCACTGTAGCTCTCCTGTCTGTCTTTTTTTTTTTCGGAGAGCTACAGTTCTGCAGCTAGGGTTACATGTATTGGCCCTGGAATACAGGCGATGTGACTTTCACACTGGGATCAACTCATTCCCTATGTATTGGATATATGCCGAATACAGTTCTGTATTAAAAAATATCAGACAGTTTGAGGCCCGTTAGGGCCGAAAACTGTCTGATATTTTTTAATACAGAATTGTATGAGGCATATATCGTACTTAAAACATTGCTTTTGATTTACCTGAGACAGTCCGATATTAGAACAAAAGACAAAGGTGTTAATGACCACTGAAGCAATGCTTTCAAGAATGCAGGCTTAAATGAAAAGTACTCAGTAATTAGGGATTTGGCTACACTGAAGAAGGTATTTGAAAGAATTTGAGAAGGAGAGCGGGGACAAAATTTTTATTCATTAAAACAATTACGTGGAGATTAAAGCAGTGCAACGAATTATCATACACACTTTCTAGTGAATGACAAATTTGGAATGAAATGCCGATATGAAGAATATCCACTGAAAATTAAGCAGATGCTAACGGTACACTTCCATTTCATTTTTTTTACGTTAAGCGTCTACGTATACCTTTGTTTTTGATGTTCCATTACAGAAAAAACAAACATAATCAATAATCTAGGAGTTTTGAGGGAAGCGTTAAAAATCTTCATATTTCTGTCAAAATTTGTTGCCAATCTGTCAATTAAGTATTAATTATCATATATACTAGACTTAGTTATCTTGACTTTGCATCTAGGCATTTTTCTTTCTATGAGAAAAATGAAATCAAATTGTCTAAACGTTGTGTTTTATTATGAATTTATTATTGGGGCTTTGAAAGTATTGCGCTTCTCTGGTGACCCCCAGTGTGCCCACTCTTTTTCAAAAACAAGAAAAAGGGTTTGAAACACTTCCCCAATTTTAATAGGTTTAGTAGAAATTTACCCATTTTTGTGTGGGTTTTTTTGGTAAGGTTTTATTTGCATTTTCTGGTCTGACACTTGTTCTTCTTCCTGTTACAGTATATTTGCTGTAATTGAAAGTTTAATTTTTTTTTTATTTTGCAGTTCTGTTAGATCAATATTTCAAAATCATCATTCTATGTGAGAAATTTAAATTTCTGTTTGTTAAATTATCACACTTTTTATTTCTTTTGTTCAGTAGCAGTCTAATTTTGAAGGATATCAGTACTGAGACAGTCTGATATTACGATTAATATCAGACTGCTCACTAATATCGGACTGCCACAGGTAAATTTTTAGACAGCAAGAACAAAGGAATGACATCACAGCAATGTTTTAAGACCTATAAAATGATGGAAGATATTTTGGTCATTTCAATTTATTATCTCTTAGGTACCAACAATTTTGACCCTTTGACCTTGATCTTAGTCATCGGC